AAGAGACAGACCCCAAGCATTCGGCACCGAGAGAGAGAATGCCTCTAGCAGTCCGCCTCACGTAATTGAGTCGAGTGTTTCATATGGTTCGGGCGGGCAGCGATCTCTCATATGAGATTCCCGAGAGTTGCCCGCCGGCTTCCTCGCTGCTCCTGATAGCCATGGACCGACTCCCTATATGTTCGCGCATGGATCTGGCGTACCCTTGGTACCAAACGGCAAAGTAGGTTCCGATAAACTGGACTTGACTGGACGGAGCTTTCACGCGCTTGCTCTGGTCGGCTCATCATCAAGCCGCAGACGTAGTCGTCGAACCGCCTTACGCTGGGCGGCATTAAGAAACACAGAACGAATCGAAAGAGGGATCCATGAAGGAGGGTCGATGAGACCGCGTGAAATAGTCACGCCGAGAAACAGTCGAAGAATAAATTTCGAATGACAGCGAATCCATCATTCACACGAAGATTAGGGATATTTATCCGAGCGGATGCCCGAGCGCAAAAAAATACCCGCAGGCAGTGTCAGTGACACTACCGTAGGTGGGGACCTGAAACGTCTTCGATGATTTCTGGTTTCCTTGAATGTGTGCTTCGTGAGTTTCTAGCGTAAGTGAATTCGAGCGCAGAGTCAATCTGAGCGGAGCCGGAATTTGAGCTCACGTCAGCGCAGAGTATAAACATAGATTGTTCTTGCGCAAGCTGAACTTGAGGCTGCTGGCCTTTACCCAATCAAGATTGAGCCTAAAGCTTCGGTCGAATCTCTCATCTCCTGGCACGCTGATAGCTGGCCGTTGAGAAGTATTGCTCTAGTCGTTGGGCCAGTCCGCGCGCTGGGAAATCGAAATCGCCCTCTCCCAAGCAGCCACCATATTCACGGTTCACGGGCGAATTCTGATCTTTGATGGGGCGTCATTCGGGGGCGAGTGATTGACCTGCGCGCGGGGGGAATCTGTAGGGATCATATGAAGCCAATGTCCCGCGTTGGTATCCGATGACACCTAGCGGGCGTCGATCGGTGTAGGTGAGACTGAGCTGTGGGAAGTTAAAAATGGTCAAGCTTCGTTCCCTATTTTCGTCACACACTTTTGGTGGCGTACGAGCCCAACCCACCTTCCGCCATCCGTGATCCGAAAAATCAGCCCCGCAGATTCGCCGTCCCAGTTCTACGTCAAGAGATCTTATATCGGCGTATCGAGACGGACAGAGATGCTATTCCCTCTGCTGAATCAAGCTCTGAAGCAGCTCGATCGGAGACTCGAAGAGTGGAAACAGAGCTGAGGACGGTCCACGAGTCTGGGAATCGCTGCGAACTCAGGTTTTGTCAGCAAGAAGCTGAAACGAGCGGCTCTTACGCGAAGCAGGATGCGGCGTCGAAGCTTATCACGTCGCAGACCATGACGCGTTCGCCTGTATGTTTGTCCCGCCGCAACCTCGGTCGTCTTCCGCTTTCGTCCACTTATGAGCTCATCATACTCAGGAGTGGTTCCCTCCATGGGTGCTCACGGTGTGCAACGAATACAAGGTGCTCGACATCCGTGGCAACTCGCTTTCAAACGCGTGAATTCATAACCTCGGAAGAAACCTTCACCGGGAAAGGATGGACCAGACTTCCTCCCAAGTCTGATCATTGGAATGTAAATCCAAGACACGGGCCGTCCTTCCGTGGAAATTGGCTTTACGTGGGATCTCTGTTCAATCGAGCCAGGAGGAAAAACTTATTGGTTTGTTGAACAGGGACTCTAAAAGGATTTCTATGCTCGCTTCTTCGATCAGCCTACTTTGTATGCCTTCCATTGGTGTTCTCTTTGTCGGTACATACTTGATTTGGCTCTCTCCGCGGCTCTGATCAGATCCAGCGGGGTAGTGAATTGATTACCTCAGAATCGGGAAAGAATTTCCGAGGATTGAAGTCGGTGGACGACTTCTCCTAAAGTTTGAGCACCGCTTCAAAACATTCCTTGAGATATCGAGCGATATGAGGGCGCAGGATTTAGAGGAGCAACGGATAAGATCTCGGAGGTCACCGACTTGGCTCGATTCTCTCCGACTCGATTAACATCGCGTCTCGGTTTAGCGCTTCGGCTGAGTCCCTGACCCAGATAGTTCTGATTTTGAGTCGTTTAGCTCGTTCGGTGATAAGTTCACAGTTTCCCATTCCGCAGAATCAAAAACTCGCGCGATACCCAAGATCTCCATTGAATAGGCGGACTTCCTCCACCAGCCATTGTCGACACCCGCAAGATGTGCTTGTATATTGAACGGAGCAATTCCGGAAAGCTCTCCGCGGAGATCTCGATGAGCGTCATCTGGGAAGCGCGGGGAAGCGCTTGGACGGCGGAGGCATTACGTGTGGGGGGTGTAGACTCGAAATTGAACGTGATGCTTTGTTCGAGCTTGAAGCATTTGCATCGTCACCACGAGGCCAGAATCAGGAAACAAGAAACAAGACGGATAATGCATTCCTGGGATATGAGCCACGGAGAGCACGTACCCCATCTCACGCACGATGACCAGCGACGAGCGCGGACGACAGCTCGGAAACTCGAAGCGTGCCATATGTAGTTTTGTTTCCAAACAAGAGGACGCTGATGATGTAATTGAGCAGAGCTCCCATCCAACATCTCTGCTCAGGAGCATCAAGCGATCCTAGTTGTGGCGGCCGCCCCTTCCCACAGATATATGATGCGGCAGTCTATGAATAACATCGGAATGCTCAGCACGCCTGTCGGCAAACTTGTGGACCTGCCTCTCTCCGATCGAGGGAAAGTTCCTTGAGATCGGGTTCCCACAGGACACCTTCCCACTCCAGCAAGGAATCTATCCTCCCCGGCTCAGCCGAAAAATATGTTGAGGCGAGGAAGTCGAGGCTTCGCGTCGGTCATGCCGTCCCTCCACCGCACCGTATCAAATTAGGTGTGGGTGAACTGATGAGACCGCTGGCTCCATAGGGGCGTAATAACTCAGGGTCAGAACGGCGTCTTGCCGTGCATCTACCTAGGAACCGGCGAGGAATTCCGCAGTGAAACCGCGAGTCCTGATAGCGAGGGAGGGATTATCATCGATGCCATACGAGCGAGACGGTGGCCTAATTTAATCATGTTTTGATCCGAGAAAAAATATCTAAAGAAATCAGGAATCTGCTGTCTGCTGACATTGCTGCTCGGACTATTTTTGTACCCTCATCGACCACGGTTTTGAGCAAGGTAACTTGATACTTACAGAATTTGCCAGAGTGACGGCGTCGTTTCCGATAATCAGGAGCGACGAGGGAAGGCTTATTCTACCGTCGAGCTGAGCACATCCCCGATCGCTGGAGGATGAACCAGGAAAGCTTCAGACTCAGTGCTGCGCCCCTCGTAGGACGTAATCGTATTGAGCATTCATGAATAGTCCGAGTCTCATGAACTCGGCTAGATTCAAATAGGTAACGAATCTGCATGAGGGAGGCTGCCCGTAGGAGCGATTGAGTATGAGGCATGGGTGTTCACTGATTACTCGTTGTGAGGGAGCATACGCGCACAATTCCGCGAGGGCGGACTTTATCCGAGCTTGTAGAGGGCCAATATATGAATCGAGTCTAGACAGAGAAAGAGGTCAACTGTTGCTGCAGGGTATTGTCTTGGTACGAAAAATTACCCTCATATGGGGCGACTGGCTTTTCTGCCGTCGCCTGCTGGCTCCTTTTGTCGGCCGCTCAGAGCTTGCTCGCTCTCACGCAGCGATAAGAACAAAGCTTCACATCCTGACATGAAAGTGAGCATACTTTCATCATCAACAGTGAACTTTCCTCAGATCATACTGATTTGAATTTCCAAGAGGTGGAGATACGCCAACGAGTAATTGACGAAGACGTGATGCTTTCTATTGTAGCTATCAAGGAACGCAGGTATTACAGCTTCCCACCCCGAAGAGTTTTGGAACCTTACGGAGCGACTGCGTCGCAGAAATTCGGAGCGCTTCAAAAATCTGCCCTGCGCCGGGACCCGAAAGCCATAGAATACTTTCGCGGGTAGGATTCCCAGAAGACCGGATTGCTGTAGCGACTGCCACAGAGGGGGTAAAGGGTGGAATAAGGTGGAAAAGCGGATGCTCATTCAATACCTCAGTTAGGACTTCAGACCTGCTGTGAACCATTCGCTCCCTCGCTATTGTGGCAGCCTGGTTGCCAACCAGGCGAACGAGCGAAGAGCTCAGTCAGGGTTACCAGACAGCGGAAGGGGAGTGCAGAAAGAGGACGGTAGCGAGCGAAACGTCAAAACGAGACGCTTTGACTCACGGAAATCAGGGTTCCTAATGAACAGGTTTTCTGGGACGACGAGCACTTCTCATTTTATGGACAGTCTACGAGGGCCCAGGAAGCTCTGGAATATTGGCACATACGAGGACGAGGGGGTCATTTCAAGAGCTCATTCGCGGGGGAAGCATTGTTACCCTGCGTCAATATTACAGCCGTCGTGGGAATTGTACGAAACTTGCTGGAGTCGACCCCTCGGTGGTACTTTCGATCGCACATGATGTCGATCGTGAATCGTATGATGTCACATAAAACGACAGGGCTAGCTTACGGAGGTCATCGCGCATCTCATGAGCTCCCGATCTTCAGTCTACATCCGGACCGCCATCGATACGCCAACTCGCCATTAGAGCAGCCCGCTCCGGTACTACACTTCGTTTGAGATCTCACACGCGGAAGTCGTTTCGGGTCATCTAAAGTGCGACAGTATACGACGTCTCATAATCAGGGAAAATTGATGCAGCTCAGAACTCCCGCGGAGAATTTCGGAGCATCGGCTCGGCGCTATGGCGATTTCGCTCATCGTGATCCATTCCCCCGTGGGAGCACACGCTTCTCGCATGGTGCGTGCAAATCAGATTCTTACAAGAGAATTCGAAGGAGGGAGAGCCTCGTCGATATGCCATGGACACCAAGCAGAAAAGAGAGACATAAAAAGACAAATATCTCCCGAGCCTTTCAACTCGAATAGAAATCAAATACAATTGTACATAAACATCTATTCCGATCAGCTACTCGCTGACAGTTTACGAATTCGAGTCCAGTGAACGGAACAGCCGGTCACCAGCCATAGAGACGACATGATATGATTGGAATTCGCTGATTTCCGAACATGGAATCTAATGATCGCTGTACCTCGCAGTTTCGTTGATCTTGTACTCCTCCACGAGCTCAGAAAACTCTCTGCGCTGCTTCTCCTTGACTTCACTGAAGTGCTGCTCCTCGTTCTCCGCACAGATTTTTTGAATTTCATCGAAATCCTCTTCAGACATGATCTCTCTCAAGCGATGCTCGACGCTTTCTCGATTTTTCCTGACCTGCGAATAAGCGCATCCGTCATTCCCGCGCCGAGCCTGAGCGTCAAGTCGAACCCCTCAATCCCCTACGTATACAATTCGACCAGAGAGAGCCCATCCGAATGTTCTTCTATATGAATGTTTGTCGGTTTGGAATTAGGGGGGACGGAAAGCGGATATCTCGGATCCGAAGATGCTCCACAAACCTGGTACTTCCTCCGACGATTGTGATCGAGGTCGGCCATGAGGATCTTGTAGCTACATTGATCAAGAATGCGGACCACGACCCGGGTGTTCCGCACTTCGTGATTGTAGACGCGATGGAGTCTGGAAAACCAAGGTTTCGACCGGTGTGAGACTTCGATGGATGCATTTGTTGAGTGGAACCTTCGTGAAGCGACACCTAGATAAGTGGATGAGTTGAGCGCATCGGACGTCTGCTGGAGAAGCTTACTTGGGTATCATTGACATGTTGGCACAACGGCTGAGGAAGGCAACATTGTTGGAAAAATCAGCGAATTGAGATCCCAATTTGTTGTAGCGGACGAGAAGATTGACAGTCTTCGCCTGGTACTTCTGCTTGATCCTGAAATTGAGGATACCACAATTGATCATTATTCACGATCCACTCTTCGGACACCAGCGGAAAGTGAAGTCTGGAGGGAGAGTTCCGGCGAGGATGGCTCCAATTTACGCCGACTCTAATAGGGGGCGACAATGCGTTCTGCGTCTGACGAGACGCTCAAAAACGACGAGTGACGGCTCAGAAGACGCCTCCAAGCAGAGTTTTTTGAATCACGATCGGTCGTCGAGCAGAGGAGTACTTCCACTCTGACCGGCCGGCTCGCGCTGAAGCATAGCAGGTTAGCCTCGTTTCCCATTCCCCCTCCGCCGGAGGTCTGTTTGCTCAACGGGTTCCGGGTGGTCGATTGCTCGGGGCGAGAACAACTTGCGCGAGTTCCTGTGAACAAACACGGCATGCCACACGTCTCGAACAAGAGATTCCCTATTATTGCTCCGTCCGTGTTAGTTCGGTGAACGCTCGCAAACAGAGTTCCGGGACTCTTCCGATCGGCTGAAGCGAGATCCTCGCAGAGCAAGAACGAATAAGATCTCTAGCACGAGCGTAATCGAGAAGATCCCAATTGAAGGTCGGTCCACGTTCCGAGGACGAGATTCGATGGACTGCAACTATTTAAATAATGCTCGATCAACGCGATCGATGCGCTCGAGTCGTGGAGGATGGTGAACGCTTTCATCTTTTCTCGGAATGGGAAGGAGCCAATTCCCACCCCAGCTGATCTGGACGAGTGGCCACGCAGCTCATCGAAGAATTTCATACCGAGCTCCCTTCAAGCCCTGAGTCTATCCCCGTTTGCTCAAGCGCTCGACTTCTAGCTGTTCGCTGCCATCACCCCGGAGTAGGATTGGGAAGTTACCAGAACAACGTAAAGCTACTGATTTCCAGCGGAAATCCAAGCCGATAGTCAGTCATTTGTAAAGAGAAGGGCTCTCTATTGGCTGTCTGGATGCCGAGGAAAGAAACGAAAGTGGAATCTCCCTCTGAATTCCGGAAGCGAGCAGCGAGCCGAAACGTCAATCGGCTAGCATGGTCGGCGACGTAAATTCTAGAGGGTACAGAGATTTTCTCATCCTGAAGCGCTTGGCCGCGTTTGACGATAATCCGAGAAGTTCTTCTATCGGGCCTGCACTGGAAGCACTCGGAGCGAAGACTCTCGAATTTCAAATGCCTCGATATTCTACATACATAAAATCGCGGAAACGACGATGTTGGTGAATTGACGGTTGTTTTCGGTTCCCAAAGCCCGAATCGTCCTGCATGTGGCTCAGCCAGTCTCTGTGGCTCATATCGGATATCGACAGCATAAAATAAGCGAATGGGATAGTGGAACGGACGGAGTTCACGTAGACAGAGCGCGGATGATTGCTTCAGACTACGCTTTACAGGAGGAAAGTAGGTATGCCATCGACGACACGCGATCAAGTCACGCCGCATGCTCGCCGCTCTAGGCAGATGTCCCCCAGGGGCATGCATCAATCGATGCTCCATCCCCCCAGCTGATAAAAGGAAAAATGGAAATAGTAAAAACAAAAGTGTTCGATTATCAACCCCAACGAAATCAGTCAGTGAGTTTGGCGCGGCGTACGCGAATCGGCTGCAGATTATCCCCCTCTCGAACCGAATATGGGCGGATGCACTCATATACTCATCATCATCATGATCATAATAATTAAGAGGAAGTCCGTATCCAAACCAAGATCCCCCTCTTAGCGGATGGCCCTATTGGATATTGGTGACTTATTGATACAGCGCAAAACTGCCGGGATGGTCGCTAACCTTTCACGTAGCTCTTGATTGAGGCCTCCCTTGCGATTGACTCGACTCTGCTCGAGCGGATTATTCGGCTTGCGGTCATCAGTGTCGCTCGCCCCGCAAGGAGTTGTATTGGCGAGCTCGTCACCGGCCGGTAGTGACACCTCCTCACCGGTGGATACGGCCGCCATGCTGCGTGTGCTTCGTTTTCCACTGACGACTGGCTGACTCCACTCACACGACCTTTTCTGCTCGATGAACGCAATCCCCGGTCTGTCTGTGCTCGAAAAAAAGGACTGTCTCCGCCAACTGTCAATAAGTTGATCTGAAGCAGCCGATCGGGTAGAAACAAAAAGATTGGAGCGTCGAACACCCGGACAACACTACGGCGCTCCTATTTTCGGTGACGCCGTCGTTGTTGTCTTATCCGAGGATTATGATAGAGCGCACCTTGTCCTTTCTTTTAAATAGCGGAACAGTGCGAATTCTTTTAACAACGGCGGCCGGCCGTGCCAGACGGCGGACGACTGGAAAAAAGAATGTGCTTTCCCTTTTCTTGTTGGTCGAATCCGAGATGTCTGTTATTGGAGAAAGATCCTATCGAGGCACGGAGAAACAGAACTTCGAGTGCAGCCGCGACCGACGCGTGAATATGGCTGGCTGTCCCTACAGGAGAGCCCAAAGAAAGGGCGGACAGGGGGTGACTCACTAAATTTCCGGACTATGGTAGATCGGATATTGGAATCCTACGAATTCGACGCGCGTCAATTTTCTCGGGGGACTTCGAGGAGAAATGCGAACAATATAACTTTATTCCGCGAGTATCACTTCAATCATACGAGGCTCCACTGCATGGCGCAGGAAGCGTCAGATCTATCGGCGAGAGCAGCTCCCTCGAGAGGAAATGGCGAGCCACTGGAAAACTGCCTGCCTGTGACGGAATATCATAGAGTCGCGCATCTATCGAATGATGGAAGGAATAATTGATCGATGAATCTGGTCGAGGGAATGATCACTCGCCCGCCGGCGGAGTGGCCAACAAAAATGACGCAGCATGTGAACGCATCTGAAGAATGCATGCATCTGATCTCATGAATCAATACCAATTTGTGAACGAACAGGTTTATTGCTCGAAATTATACGACCCGAGAATATTGAGCTCGACGAAGCTGAAGTCCTGGATATCGTACCACGAAAACCTCTCCTCCCCCCAACGCTTCAGCGTGTATTTACAGACTAGATACACATCGAAGGACAGTGCGGTGACACTTATTCCTGTCAGTGAATTACGAAATAGTTCTCAGCGTTACGTGAGACGATCGATCCACGCCATGGAATCATTCGGATTCCGAGAGTCCTCATGGGCGTCTGGTCGTAGATGTGAATGCCGTCTCGACTGCATCTGCAATTGAATGAATAGCGCTCTTCATCGTTGATGCTCCTGTTGTAATTCCAAATAAGATCAGAGCGGAACCTTTTTTCCGGCGCGGCGCAAGAAACTTCAAGACCTCAGTACCTCACGAAAATTCCAGCGTGTCCGCGGAACTTCTTGCCCACGAACGTAGCTACTGGTGTGCTCCGAGGAATCGAATTGCAGATCCCCCTGACCTGGAATATTGTTCATTTTAGATACGATCGTTCGATACGCTCGATTGCGTCATGCTTGCCATGGCTTCCCTAGATGTATCCACTCAAACCTGGCATCTCGTTCGCATCCCAACTTCCCGGAGATTTCGAGGAAACGCGTCGGAATTCTACACTCGGGAAAGCTTTGAAGAAGCATGGGCGTGAGCTCAGATGATAAAAAACCTCAGACGTGAGCTGAGATGATATTGGCTTCTATTCGTCTCCCCGGCACGACCAATACCGACCGATTGGCCTCGATTGATTTTATTCCCCTAATCATTCTCGAGGAGATGGCGTCCTGTTTACGACTCGCGCGATGGTGCGATCATGAAGATCCTAGTTCAACGCGGACGCTTCACTCGTTCACGAAATCCCCATCTCTCCTATGTATTCTGATCACAGGAGCTCCGTAGAATGCCGACGGAAATATTTTTGAAGCGGGAAGTCGGAGACAAATCTCTGTGAGATTCCTCAGGGTCAACGCGCAGGCGTGTTATTCCTGAGGTGTGATGATTCTTCATAATTTCAGATAGCTCCTCGAAGATCTCGCACCCCCTCGGAGAGGTGGAAGAGAAACGAGTTTTCATACCGATCCTAAATGTTAGGCCTTCAAGGCATGTCGCGAACGAACCTTCGCTCCTTTACGCCAACTGTTGGTTCCGCGGTTCATTCCTACGCACTTGGTCTTGATCAAGGCAGCTGCAGAGCCATCACCGACCCAAGACCCGAGTGCGCTTGCGACATCATGGCACATAGCGTCGACCTCACAATTCAGACTGAAGGCGATGCTCACGACAAGCACCAAAGGTGTCACGCCCATTTTCATTCTGGAGAAGAGAATCGATCAGTTCAATCAATGGAATACTGAATCACACGAGGATCAAACCCTTTCGATCGGTTTTCTTCGATCCTAGCGGTCAAGGGGGGGAAATACGCTCCAGAGGAGAAAGAACTACTCACTTGCCGGGTTCATGCGCGACTCAGCGATGCGTCTTGATCTCCAGAGGTCTCTATGGTGGAGAGACACTTTTGGGCGTCACTCATAGAGAGGGAGGAATCGCTTATATAGTGGTGTCGAAAGTCGATTAAAGGGTACCGTGGAGATCTCCTTTTGTTTTCTATTCTTATCTGAAGCGATCGAATGGGGACATCACAGGGCGAAACTCACGTCGGGATCAACATCATCGCAATGATTACCATCTCGACGATTCTCATCGTAATTTCATTGACGTGAGTACAATATCCGAGAAGAAAACAGTGTTGAGCCTATCGAGGGTCTCGTGCTGTTGCATCATCATGTCCCAGGCTCGGAAGTCGTCGGTGGTGTCACCTTGATTTACTTGACGTGACTCACAGCAGTGAGACTCCCACTTGTCGTTCCCGACGCTTCTTCATCCCGTTCGCTCAAGGGGATTTGATTGAAACGGATATTGAGTGATATGGAATTTCGACCCCAAATCTTCAGGCGAAACAGGGCTTCCAAAGCCTCTAACGAGCCCGAATTTCTTCCACTGTGTAGAGAAAAGAAGAACAGCGAGAATCACTCTATTAAAACCGTCTGCAAGCTATCTCTAGTCGGCGATCTCGATGCTTTTTCTCCAACAGAATTAGGTTGCGAACGAGTGGACAATCGGTCGCAAAACTATAATTGTCACGGAAAGTCAATACGAGCCGGCTCCGACATGATCTGTACAAGTGCAGACCTGTCCCCCCCTTTGGGGTGACGTGCCCAGGCTACGTTGAGGCAGGGAGGTCGCCTGTCGAGCTCCCCCGGTCTAGATCATGCTGCAACCTCCACGTTGGATGAATTCCTGAAACTGATCAGGTTGAGGCGAGGCTCGAGCTTTTTGGTATACTATGGCCTGCACTTCTGCCTCGACCTCCAAACTCCCTCGAAGTCCGCTGTTCCGGCTCCGAGCCACGAATCCTCTGAAGCGGCTCTCCGATTTGAGTCCACTGGCCGCCCGCGTGGAATTCTCTTCTCAGGTCACACCGCCTGCGAGCTCGAGATTCAATCCTGCTCCTCATCGATTGAATGAACCAGTGCAGCGTCGCTATTTTATCGGAGGGAGTCCGAGTGCGGAGCTCACAGCGAATCGGGAATCCCGGGAAGCGGACTCAAAGTTGGGGTACCGTTGTCTCGGGTGCCGAATTCGAGGCATCTGTCTCTGATTTCCTCAGCTACTTCTAGACATCTTTTATTCTAGTGACGGGAGCCTGTTGAATCAGTCCGACCCATGAATCCGTTCTCGCCGGCAGCACCCTCGAGAAACAGTGAGTATACTGTCTATATGAGGAAGGGGAGAATGAAGGAGTGAATGCACATCTGATTCCGAATTTTTGAAAGCATTTTTTTTGTTCTACGCCTCATATCTCCAGCGCAGAATTCATCGAATATGACCGGAAGGGGGACTCGTAATCGTCGGGACTTCCGATTGACATTCATGGCTCTCATAATACATGACGTGAAGATTCCGATTCTTTATCAGGCCCCCATGTGACCCGCATTCCTGCACCAATCCGGAGATGACGAGTGAGTTTCTCACGCGCCGTACTGCGATGCTTCCAAGCTCCAACTCCGATCGGATGGTTTGCAACAGCTCGAATGGAACAACATTCGCAGGTAACCCTCAGCTCCGCTGTGCCTCCATGATGATTTTTTTTCTGAGTAACTTCACTGACAGTAACCGATACAGCAGACGCCGCAAAAGATGGACGATGACCAAGAAGGAACGACCATCAGGGCAGCTGAAATCGTCGTCGGAACCCACAATTGACGGCCCGACCAATGGGGCAAAGCTGAAAATTGCGGAACAGCCTTGACGAATTTGAAAGAACGCCGTTTTGATTCTGGATATACAACGAGCCGGGAATGGCGCTTTTTGTTCGATTTGCGACGGTTTCCGATGTAGGTAGATCGTGACTGAACTTAGCTTCCTCGATATTTTTTTCAAGCTCGCTGACGATATTCGAATCATACCCGTTTCCGAAGCTCACCCATCCGCAAGAAGAGACCCAAGATCAAAAATAACCTGAGGCGACGAACCGCGCGACAAGCTTGAAAAGTCGCGAGTGATCATGACCTGAAGAAACTCACTCGATTGGTTAATTGGGACAGGGCCACTGTCTCGAGTTGCGTCTTGTTTTTTCCGCTTATCAACTTTGGTCAAGATGGAATGAGAGATTTGTCGAGCATGCCTCAGAATCTTGAGAGATCGAGATGTCCACGATGCTTACGGCTCAACTCCCATGGGCGGGAGCGTTATTGCGGGGCGCACCGTGTTCAACCGCCAATGTTGTCCGAAGCCCACTCCTTGAGAGGATCTCTTATGTTTCGGGCAGTTAGGCAAGTGCCTCTCTCTATTTAGAAGAGCTCCTCATTGGAAAGTGCGCATGAGGGATAATGTTCGGGTCACGTACGTTCTCCACTTGTCTCCGTTGCTCGACAGCCACGCAGTCTGCGTCTCGATCGGCCATTCGAAGCGTCAGTGCTTTGGCTGAACCGCTTCGCCAGAATCAGCAGAATTGATCACCGGCTTTCACCGAATATACATATGTACAATGGTATCACTCTCGTTACAAGTACCATAACCCAGATTACATGGAACCGGGAGCGATCGACAGTGAAGGCTTTTTGTTCGCGCCGAGCAAAACCAGCTCTGTGGCGCCTAGGTGTCATCGCTCTCACGAGTACAGAGTCATACGACCGTCTTGGAACTGATATGTAGTTTCAGCATGCCGACTGCTCAACCTCCGCACTGGAACTTGACCGTCGCTGCAAACGCAGAAAAGCTCCGACAGGGCGAGAGGTCTGAGACGGAATGTTCGAGAAAACGGATATTTTTCTTGGTCTGATTAAGACACTAAGGGGGGGATCCGCAGATCGCTCACGGAAAGCGGAGCCTGGAGGAATATTCGAATATATTCGATCCTGGAGGCTCCTGGCTCTCATCACCGATATGGTATCGTTATCGAAAAACGCGTGAAGTTTGACAATTTTTTTTTTGAGATTCTCTGTCAGCTCCCCGTCGCGCACTTTCTGCAGCAAGGCGGAGGCATTCGATACGGCGGGCCTTGATCTGAGGGACGGACTATCCAAGAGGGAACCCCCCTGCTCGCTCTCTCGGACCGAAGTATTCCGATATCACACAGTGGGGAACTCCGCAGCGTTGACCGAATCGGAGAGACAGCATACCTTGGCGGTATCGATACTTACCTGGTTCCGTCTCTGCTCTCAAGACTTTGTTGGGACGAATTGTGAGCGGACAAAGTGAGTAATCATCGTTCTTCATCTCGAGAACCGTTAGATCCATTGCTTGAGAGTTTCCCGGCGGCCATAATATTTCATTTGCATCGGCCGAGATGCTCAGCTCACTCAGTTCGTCAGTGGAACGTACTTAGCCTGCCACGATCAGAACTTGGATGAAATTAGTCTGAAAGCCAGATTATACGGAGACGAGTGGGCGGCTCGACAAATAGCCGCCATCTTCCAGAGGCTTCAAGGCACATTCTCCCTCGCAAGCGCCCACGAGAGGCTCGTGCATAGCTCTCTAGTCTATTTTGGAATTACATCACTCGTGTTCATGCGGGAGTCATTTTGGTGCAGGGTCCATTGGGAATCAGACGCCCTACTATCGGGTCGTCCTCAGCCATTCATCGCCTGTTCGCTGATCGTGAAACTCCTGTCGTAAATAAATTCTGTTCCTGTATGATCCGGAGCGCGCTCGAAGCAGTCAGCCTACTATTCACATCGCTTCGACGCCGTGCGAGGTTTCGACAGCGCACAGCCCGTTCACAAATGGGATGGTCCGTTGGAGTGATGCGACATCGTCTCAAATGACGCTGTTACGCTGCCTGACGCCAAAGAGGGGTTCTCTCGTCCAGAAGGGACCGGAGCGAGACGCCCCGAATGAAAACAAGTTCTCTCGATGTGACGGAGTTGAACATGGCTTCAGGCGAGCCCTACAATCGAGACAGAGAGTAAGCGGGGAATGCACTGAGCCTCATCGCTAAGCGCGCCTCCACGATACGCTCCCGTCGTTTCCGACAATCGGGGGTCAAAGACGGGCCGTGATGGGATGAAATACGATTTGCGTTCTTCGATCGTGAGCCACCCGCGATCCCTCCTCTACCCCTCCCCGGCTTCATTCCTCTACCCCTAACATCATTCCGCATCACTCATTGAACACGAGACGCTGGCGTCGGTCACCGGACGAATGATAACCAGTGCGAGTTGATTCAGCGTTTTAGTAGATGTGAGATGGGTCAGAATTTTGGCAAGTCGCGCAATGTATCGCGCCTTCAAAGTCAACGACGGTGCGTCTTCTCAGTGCGGCCACTGTGATGTCTAAGCTAACACCTCAAGGCCCAGAATTCCCTATTCCCTTGAGGGTTTCTGATGCGACCCACCTGTGTATAGAAGTTCACATTCTGCATCCATTACCCATATTCGAGCTGACCCGAGCTCAGCTCCCACTGTGGACGTCGACAAAGATTCGGATAAACAAATCGAGGGTGCCTCGTATCATGACACTTTGGCAAGGGAATATATGTGCGCGTTTTTGAGTTCACATAATCCTGCGATGCTCTCCGGAGATTCAGCATCGATCGTCACGGGTAATAAACACCCTCATCGAATATAATTAATCCCCGCTCACCTGGCTGTCCCTGCGGGCAATAAACGAGCTGGAGATTAGAAGCTGGCAGGGAGGGAAGCTGTAAATATAGATATGCGACGTAATTACGGAAATGCCTTTTGGACTCGCGGGGACACACCTCCACGCAGCGATGACATCTCGGACGGATGCCCAGATTGGCACTCCGCCCTAAACGCAAAGCATACCCTACGCCGGCAAGGACAGAGCCCGAATTACTGCGAGTTCCGCTCGAGCTCGGGTTTTGCTCGATCTTACTCCGGAAACTTAGATCCACGGCCCTTTCGCGTTTTGACATTGGTGACTTTCCTTTCAGCGGAACGCTGCCCCGGAGACGCGCGCTGTTCATGCTGAGCTCGGACCGCGTCAGAGTGTCAAAACCTACGCGGTGTCAGGAGATCCGCCTTCACTGCGACCCTTTCCTTACGTGAGTGAGTCATCCACCGACTGGCTCAGTCGAAGCCTCGCGCGTGAAGGTATCCTCGTCAACTTCTGTAGGTGGGTGCGTGTGTCAGGTGTGCACATCAGTTTGCGGAATACTCACGGATTACGAGACGGAGAGAGGTTCGTTTCTGGAACGTCTTGATCCCGCGCGAAGCGACAGCAAGTATTGAAGAGTAAGTATAAGTATTCAAGAGTCGCATTGCTAATGTCTTGGCCTCCAAAGATCTTGTGATTGGCGCAAGGATGATGGACCGGGATCTGGGACTGCTTGTTGTCTTGTGGTGATCGCTCAATTAGTACGGATCTTCGCTTATCCTTCTTATCGCTAGGCGAAATTACGAATCTCAATGATCTCCGGAAAGGAATCGCTGTATTCACCTCGGAACCACGCGGCGTAGAATTCAATCAGCTGGGTATGAGAAGGACTTCCATGCGGACATTTTTCATATCATTAAAGATTCAGGAGTCATTGGACCGGCCACGAGAATTTTCTCCGGGGAAACCTGTGTCCTTGTCTTCTGATGGAGAATCCTGAAATGTCCGCAGAAGCGAAGCTCGATTCGGCGAAACGAATTTTTGTGGCAGATATTGCCTCGTCATTTTTTGCCGCTTCTAAGTGTCGGTTCTGAAGGAGGAGGGCTTCCTCTCATGCGGGTGGAAATCGATAAATTATCAGGCATGAAATCGTTTTTTCCACGATATCGGTTCACGCTGATTGTGAGACAAATGATCCAGCCGCAGAGCCTCGGGAAGATCCCGCCGATCCGCATCATAGTCTTCCCTCGGTCTCTGCCACAGATTACGCCCTGAATTATCCTCGCAATCCCTACGTTTTCTGTAAGCTAGGAATGAAGTGATCCTGCCCCAGCTCCTAGCATCGAGTCCTCAAGATCAACATGGCTGTCGATGTTTACCCTAGCCATTCGCTCCGTATAATAGAGCTTTACGTGGCGTGTTTGTGATTGCAGATGAGAGAGGGTGAAGTGCCGTCATTGCGCGTTGGGAAATCAATCGTTTCTCCCGGGCAATGCATACATTGTGATCAGGAACTTTTTGATTGTGTGTAGATGACTGCCCATCTCTCGCGACGCCACACCGCCCATGCCGACCGCGCCGACAGGACGTCTGTGATTAGTGTGTTCCGATGTCAGGCATTGAGTTCTGACACCATAGGTGTCCAGAAGAGACTGTCAAGACCGCGGTGATGGATGTCAGATGGGTATTTGACAGCCTGATCGTATGATTTTATTTTTTGTCAAAATTACTTGCCGACGTTCCCGTCCAAGGACGGCACGACGAGTCTCCAATGTTTCCAAGGAAGCCTCAAATCTTCCCCGTGCGTCAAGATATCGAGGGTCGATCTTGGCCCGAAGCTGCATCATTAACGCGTTCACGTGAGATTGTACATCCCAGAGCCGCTTCCGTCGGCGCTAATTTGAGGCTGAGGTCGCCTAAACACTCGATGTTCGTCCGCGACTCTCCGTTCGGAAGTTTCCATGATCTGTGGTCCGCGACAAAACTTCCTCGATGGACGTCACCGGAGCCTTAGCGACCGAACTTCGCGGTGTCATGGGTTAGGCTGGGCTTCGTGAAGGAGTCTCACAATTTCTCGCCATTTTCTCCTGTAAAGCTCGCGCTCTGCGTTGGTTTATGATTAGTAGGGCTTTGCTTACATTATCTGAGAATTACTACTCCGTGTTTGAGCTGGTATGTGCTCGTGAGTCTAGCTCGATCTGCTTCCCCTTTGTCTCCACTGAGTGAATCGTCCGGCCATTCTTGGCGCGGAGACGATCAGCGAATTGGACGAAACAGAGGTACCAATCGCTCGTCTCCGGATGCGGCGATTCACAATATTTGAGCGAAGTCCCATGGACTCGTAGTGTCGGTCAGTCACCCGAGATCAGAGTCTCGGGAATTCCCGTGATTCGACCGCAATAATCCACCGAATCAGCGGGCATCCGGGCTGGAACGCTCCATCTGAGGTTTCCAAGGCACTCTTGCAGATCAGAGCATTTCGAGAATTGTGATTTCATGATCGGCATGCTCGAGAGCGGAATAATCAAAGCTCTAGCCCAGTCAGAGGCACTGCGGAGAATCGCGGAGGCCCCTATAAAATCTCCTGCGATTTTCTTTCTCTAGATTCGATTCATAGAAAAATCTTCAGACCGTCCCAAGTAGCTCCCCAACGCACAGGCTCGACGCACTTTCTGAGTTCCACTGCTGCTCGTAAAGTTCGGTATCACGAAATCGGGTGAAAATTGAGAAATTATGGGTCGTCTCGGCATCACAGAGATCTATGACGGAGTCTTCTGAATGGTTGTCATTATAGATGACCCGACGCGACAAGAAAGTTGTCTGTGGAAAGACATTCCAACAAGAGGCAATTCTTGTCAATTTAGAAGAAAAGCGTGCATTCATGGACGGGGTTCTGAAGGTCAAGCATAGTGAGAAGGAACCAGCTAGAACCGATACGTCATGGGTCCATTATGCGGGAGACAGCGTCGGTCGGCCGTGTGAGTGAAATTCAAACGAAGTTCCCACTCTCATGAGTGCTTCAATGCTTCAAATCATACCCAAGCGTGTATAACAGAGGACTATGAATGTGCATCTTCGGATGCTAGAAACAAATGATTGGAGGTTCTCGGACTGGGGGACGATCAGCCAGGAGACTTGATCGAGCTTTCGATTGGAGAACCGTCATATTCGTCATTTTCTGGACGGCCGCACGACACTCGTCATTCCAAGCTTGTTTATCCTGCTGATGGGACACCTCGGCCGTCTATTGGGAAGCCCCGAGCCCTTAAACGTGGTTGAGATCCCGGGGACGAGGAATCTCGATGCTCAACTCTGGGGAAGGGCAGTCGTCACGGTAACCGACAAAAGGACCAGGAGCATCTTATAGAGACGCGCGCTGGGAAACGTTGTAAACTTTTGTCTATGACTCAGTTGCTGCAGCTATTGTGGTCGATGTCAGCCCCTGCGGCTCATTGTTATTCGACGGAAGCTCCCTAACACTGGGGACGCCACTTCTTTTCAGAATCATCCCTCTCGGAACACTTTTCTTAGTATGTTCTGCTCCGATGGATAGCAGGGATCAGACGGCCAAATGGAATCGGCTCATACTCCTCTTCCATCTCTCCGCTCTTCTATGTGCCCACGAAGCGTGGGGGCAAACTTCAAATGCCGCGACACAAGTTCCAGGAGACGGTCCGCTTTCAGGTGAGCCGAAGAGAATCAAGAAAGTTGTCAACTGCTTAGCCGTCAGAGGGGGAGATTCTGCACACATTTTATTCCTCTATCAATGTGGAAAGGGCTGCGTGGTCAACCCGAGTTCGATGATCGACTCGGTGACTCGATGACCACGACTTCACCTGATTTCCCATTGAACTCTCAACACACCCTGCTGGCTCTATACGTTCTCTCGGTCCCGATCGAGATCAGAACCATCGAATAAGGCGCCGTCTTTTCTACTCCTCTTCCTTCTTCTCCTCATCCTTTTTATCTTCCTCTTTCTTCTCTTCCTTTGCTTTGGCGCCTCCTCTTCGGGCCATGAATTTGTTCTGGAATTCAGGGTGCACGTGTCGGATTGCGCCTCAATCACTCGCTAGGGGTTCCTCTTGGTGAGAGCTATGACAGCTTCTCCGACGGGAAACAGTGAAGTCTCACCTTTATGTTCTCAGAGCATGTATCCCAGAAGGCAAGATCGGTTTCACTCATACCGCCCGATTTCTGTCGATAATCCACAAGTATACGTCATACAATGCGATTGGGATCGGCCCCATATGTTCTGAGCCCGTTGGAACCTGATAGTCCCAACTAATTGTAGAAGGGAAAACTCACATTGAGCTCCTTGACGCGGGTCTGGAGTTTCTCCATTGCTTCCGGACTCATCGACGGTTTCTCTTGTTCCTGGCATGGGATGAAATTTTAATGAATGGAATTTTAATGAAACTTTCAGTCGAGGATTCCGGCCTCCGATGCCTAATCTCTCCGTGAGAAATTCACACTGTCCTCATACCTGTTGTTGCACGGCTATCGACTTCTTCAGGATCCTGATACCTGCCTCGGTCATTCCGACGGTCTTGCACTCTTTCGTTACCATATTCGTCACTGACAGATTAAAATCGATTAAATTCGCTCGGATCTGCGGTTGAGCTCCTCGAGTAAGGAGCAGCAATAGACAATAGCTGCAAGGCACTGAATAGAGGCCAAATATGTACACGAGATGCTCTCGCAATAGGTGACGGAAATACCTCACCCATGTGCCCTGTGCCACCTCTCGCGCCCCTCTTCTGACAGGCGGAATACGGAGCATTACAAAAAAAAAGGAGCACAACGGCAACATAAGTCTTCATGTTTGCGAGCTTCGGGAGACTTTGTGCAGACTTCTGAGGCGTCTTACGGACTTATATGTGTAGGCTCTTGACCAGCTGAGGTATTCGAGCGGCACGACACGACACGCTCACAGTCACGCTAACGTTCTCCGTGACGAAGGACACCGCGGAATCCGAGATCCGCAAGTGCGCACTCTAATTTAGCGACGATTATCCGATGCCATGTCATGCGGAGACAGGGTCGGCTCGAAGGGTCTTTCTCCTGGTCGTATTTATAATTTCGCCGCTCCGAACTCGGTCCGCGGATTCGTTCGCGAATCGACGGAATTATGCAGCCTGTTCCTCTATCTAAGCTTGCGGAAACTTCCAGGGCTTTCCAGCACCTGTCCATACTTACTTCACTACATCCCACGAATGGAGACCTACTACGAATCTCGCGACCGCTGCACCCGAGCGGGAGGTTCCCTGCCCAAACGGGAACCACGGCAGCTGTTGTGCTTGAAACGTTTCTTTGAAAGCATTGGACATAATTCTCTGGCAAGCTTCTTCCTAAATGGCGTCAAGAAGAACCTACAAGACTTCACAGAAGAGTGAGTGTATGTGCATATGTCCTAGACTTGCCCGACGGACCATTGGCTATGAGATACGACTGCTACCGGATGGGCTCCACGTCTCGATAAGCAAGAAAACTGATGCAGCCTCCACGCATTTCGAACATCCTCTTCCCTCGCCTAGGAGACATCTCTTTCACGAGTATCCAGTGGAATGATTCGAATGCTCTCTCTTGCAGATCGAAGCGACTCTGGTTTCTCGATGATGACAGCCACAGCCAACATGGAAATCGAGCCGCAGTAGGTGACAGAAGGGAGTTCGTTTGCACAATGACAGGTGACTAGGGAGCGCCCAGAAACCAGGAAAATATTCCTTCTGTCCTGTCGTCGCCCATTCGAGCGATCAGACACAATACATGAAAACCATGACTTTCCTTCACGAGCATGTTCTGTCCCGGGATTTAATTCGCAACCTGAATTTCCAAGTTGGTGTGCTGCCGAACCAGTGTAATTCATCATTGATCGTTCACCACGAGCCTCTATCATTCGTCGATGCTCAAAGTGCTTGTGGGAACTCGTTCGCTCGTCTACCGCTCCGGACTTCGAAGGTCTGCCGTCTTCTCGACTTCCCGCTTTCAAGAGAAACTCAAATTTGTCAATCCGCAGCTACGCAACCGTTTCCGACAATGAGTCGTTTTTGTCCCGTTTTTTTTTATTGTCTCGACTTCTGGTCAGCCGCTGCGAGCGCAATCCTTAAATGCCTCGACCAATAGAGCCATTCCAATCTTAGGAAGAAACGCAATGTTTCAAGAACTACTTCGCGGACAAACCATATACGTGGTTCGACGGTCGGAGACCGGAGCTCGCCGGGTCAGCCCTGTACGTGACATTCCTGTTCTGTGAATTAATGAACCGTCTAATCAAGCGATCCAAGCCCAGATTGGAGAAGGACTAATTTTTCCTCGATCTAGGTCCGGCGGTCGGTGCTTCCTCGACGGCTCAAGAACCGAATCGTGTCCTCCCGACATCGGTTTCGTTTGCATCTCCGAACGTTTTGAGGCCGACATTCCCAAATCTTCAGTTTATTACAGCAGTATCAGCACCAGTAAAGGTGGGTTCTTAGTTAGGTTGCTTCCGATCGTGGTCGTATCGTCTGAGTGAGTCGAGTCGGCTGTGACGCAAATGTCACCGAGAGTGGAAAACTGATATATCCTCGCTCCGGTAGTTGGTCAGAGACATCGATCAGTCTGAAAAGCCGTGGTCAAGATAAGGCAATGCTTTGAATGCCAAAGCTCTCCATTCCCTCGGAGGCGAGACTCTGGAGTAGTCCGTGGAGTCAGTTAGCGCTGATCGGGGCTCCGGAGACTACAAGCGAAATGCTTCTCACCGAGGGACTCGCTTTTCTTCTTCTTTCCATGTACTCGTCCGTAGTTGTGATCACGGCGGATGATTACTTCGGAACCGACGAAAGCAGAACCAGTCTTGAAACAACAACCGCTGCCGAAGATCACGCTAAGAGCTCGGGGCTCGAGCAACTCGCTTCGCGTCAGGGCTCCAATGAACGACCCTTCCGAGTTACACGTCCCACACTGCGGAGCGAGGCATCAGAGAAGCTCTCAGAGAAAGTCCACTCACAACACATCTTCGATCTTTCGAATTCAGTGAAAGAAAGTGGACCCATCGACGACCCATACACCGACCCCGAGGAACAGAGTAAGAGCTGGAGCACCCTCCCGAACTCAATCGATCGCTTGCCTTGAATCTGTTGCATCACATACCTGTATTCTTCCCATTACCCACTTGGAATCTCTCGTTCCACAGGAGACGCGATTCCGGACTCTCGCGACGGGCATTTATTCCGACGGAACGCCCTCGATGGCGGAGGTACGGGGAGCTTTCCCAGGAGTGTTCAATAATACATATTCTTTGGCAGCTTAGGGGCTAAGCGATTCGGATCATTTTCATCACATTTTTCAGAATTCCTCGTCCCGGGAAACGACACATCATTGAAAACGGCTGATGAGGCGCTCTCGTTGTGCTTCGAGAAGCGAGCGGACTATAAGGTCCTCGACAGGGGTCACCCCGATGATCTATACCTCGGTTTATTGAGAATGATCGGGGTCGATGTCGGGGCGTTCTGGGTTTTGAAGCGTAATAAATCAGAGATGACGTCGGGACGCTGTCCGCTAGTGGAAGCCTCTTTGGACTCCGGCGTCATACGGCGAACCAGACCTTGTAACCAGTCGATCGCGATTGCCATCTGCGAACCGCGGAGTAAGTATAACGATCCGTTAATATCGCGACTTCTCCCAATCGTCTCATTCCCCTCGGAACGAGCCTCACGAAAACGGGGGCCCTCGATAAGTCTGAGCTGATCGATTCTAAAATGTCTTTGATCCGTCGCAGAGTGTCCGACGATCGTCGGATCGTACGGAGTGACTTGGAACGAAACGGAACCGGGCTCACATGTGATAAGATCATGCAAAAAGAGGCTCGGTAGCGAGTTCGGATACATCAGGAGATCTTGCGGAAAGACAGGATACTGGGATGAGGAACAGATACTCTGTCATCGGTCCTACGAAGACTGGTTCAGGTCTTATCATCCTGTGAGTACGTTACAACTGCCTGTGGCTTGAATCCGCGTGTGTGGAAGACCGAAAACGAACACGGAAGTCTTTCCAGAATATCAGTGAATCCAGCGTCAAGAGCCATTCCGCCAAGAAGTTGCAGAACGACAGAGCGATACTCGGAAGTCGGCACGGGATTGGAGGCCAACTACTCCGGGATTTGACTTCAGGCACCAGCGATGCCGAAGAGGCGGCCAAGCAAATAATGAGAGAGGTGTTTTGAAATCTGTAACCGATATCCCGTGATGCCTCAGGCTTCTAGGATCGTCCGCCGTGAATGTGAGCTCATTATTCTTGAGTGGTTCAACCTACCATGCGGATTCTGATCGATCTCTCCAGGTGATCGTCCCCGCCGTCGAGAATCTCGAAGACAAGACGGGCTTGAAACAAGTGACGGAACTCGCTCGAGACGTGGTGGCCGCTGTCGGGGCGAGACTCGGGGTCAACCAGACCATCCGAGTCGAGGGGGCCTCATTCGGTGAGCTGAGCCGGGGATTTTTTTCCGAAATCTCTCGCGGAAAACGCTGTGGGGATCATGAGCTCGATGCGTATGAATCCTCGAGTCCTACCACGATATGAACATCCGACTCCTCGTTCAGGTTATGCCGTATCGCGGAGAGGAGTCAAGGACGAAGTCAATGAGATCCATTCTCATGTTCGTGGATCCGAAGTCATCTTGAGAGGTCGCTTTTTCGGTACAACCTCGCTCACGATGGGTCACATCGTCATGAGCAACATTCCAGAACGAGTTGCACAACCTGACGAAACGGATCCCTGGGCGCGAGCAGTGGTGAGTTCTCAGTAAAGTCTCGGCGAGCTTTGGAAAATCGCGACCGGCCGAGGTCGACCCGACATGTCTAGCCCCCTCTGGAAGTCCCAACGAGCTAAGAATCGAATTTCACCTCCTTCCTAGGTGAATACACCCCTGGTGGAGTTTTTCGTCACCGACGCGGACACCGAGGGACGGATCAGGCATGGGGACATATCGGTGGAGCTCTCATTTCCACTTATCAGACGCAAGACAAAGAGAAGCTCCGTCAAATGCGTCTTCTTTCAGCCTGAATCCGAGTGAGATACCGCCAGCAGTTTTTCCGAAGGAGAGCGAATCGGGCGGAAAATATCTCCCCGCAATAATTTAACTGGGAATCCTGCTCAATTTCGATCGCGATTTTAGATATTATTCGGACGAAGGCTGCGTCTACCTCGCGAATGTTTCGGATTCCAAGACTTCAGTATGCGTGTGCAACCATACGACTTCGTTCGCTGCCCTCCTGTTACCATCGGAATCCGCTGTAACTCACGCGCAAGCCAAGTTCCTTCAGTACATGACTGCGATAGGAATGCCGCTGTCGATGATATGTCTGCTGATTTGCATTCCGATCTTCACGTTCATCAGGCACGACTCCCGACTTCGCTGTTTAGCGTGTTCACCTGCCTACGGTCGAACGCGACGAGCACAAATATACGTCTTGCATCTGTGATCGAAACTCATAGGTACACACCGATTGGAGAGTATGCCTGAAACCCGGGTGCTTTTTCAGAGAGCAACACGAAGAGCGGAATACGATACATCGGAACCTCTGCGTGTCCCTTCTCGCGGGAGACATTGTCCTGATAATCAGCGGCTACGGTGATCACCACATGGTGAGTTTTGTTGTTCTTTTTCAGGGGCCCGATTTTATCAGCGAATATCAGGGAGCAAGCTCGTCAGTATCGTCTTTCGAAAAACTGCAGGTCTGCACACCACTGGGATCTCTGGTACACTTCTGTTTCCTGTCAGCTCTGCTGTGGATGGGCTTGGAAGGGGTTCACATCATTCACATCATGTGGCTCGTGTTCACGAAGTCCGGCATACCGTTGGCAGTGTACTACATCATCGGTGAGTACGATCGGTGTGATGAATCCTCACTGATGATGTACGACTGACATTACATCGTTTCCGGGGGGACACTGGTAGCGAACGGGAATCTGTTGTTCATATATAATTCTGAGCTCGAATACAAAGCCTTTGTGAACCGTTACTCCTCCACCATGAAAAGTTTCCTCTCCCCTCTCAACAATGGGATCGTCGTGTTCATTCCAGGCTATGGCCTATCTTTCGTCATCGTCGCTGGTACAAATTTGGCTTTTGAAGAGCCGTATGAGAGGACCGCGCAGTTATGTTTCCTCTCGCGTGACAACATGGCTATCCTAGGTTTCGTCGTGCCGTTGACCGTGAGTACGGAATTTCTATTCCTGGAGCCTATTCATCAGCAAAGATAATCCGAGGCTTGGCCTTCTACGATCCTCGAAGAGATCGGCTCCCGCTGTGGGAAAAAATGTTCTCTAATTAGTGAGGGAGCTTGAGCCCCGGGGGCGGAGGGGTGGGTTGCCAGGAAAAGGGTGGGGAAACGAAAGAAAAACTCCATCCAAGAGCGCTGATGCACTCACTTCCGCTTATGATTTAATTGATCGATGTCCGTCAAGCACGTCATTGATAAGGATCGACAGATGGACCGACCGGTCTTCTGAAATAGACCAGTCTTGCAAGCTGGCCTAGTGGTCCGGCCGAGCGCCTCCGGCCCGACCAAATGCAATCGCCCGCAGCGTGCCAGCTTGTCGGCCTGTCTGACCGTTCGTCAAGTTCGCTATCGGCCTGTCACTCAGACTCTCGTATTTGCTTGCTCGCCGGGTGAATATTACGAGAGGAGTCGTTCAGTTCCGCTTTCCCTCTACGCGTACTGAGCCGGCTATTCCCGTTGCTGATCGGGGACCGCCATCAGGGGATCTATGAGCGCACAACAACACAGCCGACCGAGCGGAAAGGCTGGGCAGCATGATAAAATGGGAATCAAGTGATCAAATAGTTCGTCTACGGAAAGATATCGAGATATTTGAAGGTGCGAATCTGAAATCCATTGAGGGAACGGTTCCGAATAGGAGCGAGCAGATGCGCATACAAGGCAGGGAGGGTTGGGTTGAGGGGCTCGAGACAAAATTTTCTGGTCGTCATGCCAAGGTATTCGCCCAGGAAGGCGCGTCATCATTTTCGTCACTTGGTCTCCCCGAGAGTCGTTTAGCCGCCCCCCCCCCCCGAAATCCTGTGCAGGCCCTCGGGAGCGAGTGGTAAGCAAGACGCCGGGAGCGTTGCTCTAAATCACTGGATCACCTCAGCTCGGGATCCGTTTTATTTCGTTCTCGTCCGGGACTCTGCAATCCCGGTGTTCTCTTAAATCTACATATATACATCGGCACGCGCATAGCCAATATCATCGTGATAAAATAACATCCCAACATATACAACATACTCGAATAAACTTGAAACAATATATTATCACTCGAGGATCAGCTGGGTATCGCTCCGTCAATGCACACCGGTCTCCGGCTGGTGACGGTCGGGCGCTGACGCGCTCAGCTGTGTCCAGGCTAGAAATTTGTATTCCTCCGTCAATTTTGCGTACTGCTCCTTCAAGTTGACCCAGAACATCATCGTCAGCATGGTGTGAGGGCCCAGACGGATGTACGAGGCGCCCACGCCCTTGTAGAACCCCCAGCATCCTTCGGTTTTGAACATTTTCACGAAACAATCGAGGAGACCCGAGTAGAATAGACCTCGCTTGGTCACAGGGTCCAGCCCCTGATTGTACAGACGGGTGCACACCACGTCGAACGGTGTCATTACCAAACAGAGACCGATCCCCGCGAAGAAGCTAGCAGCTAGAGTTGCCAAGTTCGGATAATGCGCCATCGTTTCGTTTTCGATTATCTTGTCCCGGATATTCGAGAACGTCGACAGCTGAATCGCGGATCCCGCCGAAACACGGACCATGGCGGCGTTGGCACCCCGCCACAGAGCAAAAAATCCTTCCTTGCGGTATATGGAGACGAAGGCCTGTGACATGTTTGAATGTTGATGTTGGAAACCGACGGCGATTTCGCTTAACGATCGGGACTGAATTTGTGTTTTGACGAGATACAGAGGGCTCGCGAAAAACGATCCCATCGCACCGGATAGTGCACCGCAAACCACCGTTTTCGGGAAGCACAGCGAGCCGTCCGACGATCTCGTCAGCTCGAAGCTGTCCATTATGGAATAGCATCCGAGCCGGGTGCCGTTCATTACGAACTGAAACCATAGAGCTGGCCCAATGCCGGACTGGAGAGCCATGAGTCCGTCGTGTTTCGCGATGACGTAGCATGCGTGGAGAGTGTTGCGGTAATGAACCTGCGAGAAAAAAAACGTAGAACAATGTTCCACTAGTTCCGGATCCGAGCCTCGATGGGGCGGTAGTAGTTTTAATCGAGCTCCTACTTTGTATGATCCTCGGTTCTGGAGTTCACCCTGTAGTTGAATGCGGGTTTTGACGACATCGAGCGGATTGGTCAAGAATCCCGCGCCGGCTGCGGCCACGCCACCGAGCACGAATTCCATGACGATACCCTGGTCCTTGCGGACTTTCTGCTGAGGTCTGACCTGTAGAGAGTCGAGCAAGTTCGAAAATATTGACTCTTGGACTATCCACGTTTCTTCCCAAAGATCCAGAGCCACAACAGAGGCAGGCCCTACGAACTAGAGCACGGGAGATGTACCTAATTCAATTTGGTGCGAGGGGGCGTCTCTCTCGGTTGGAATCTAAACAAACTTCGCGAAAATTGTCCGGGAACGTTTGCATTCCACTTATGGAGCGAGCAGTTTCCCGGCGGCGCGTAGCAACAGAGCCTCTGTGCCAGCGCGCACCCGTCATAAGAGACGACTATATCGGCGTGCGCGCAGCGGGCATTAGGAACATTCGACGAGCGAACGGAGAACTCTGCGCGATTGCGGTCTGGTTATCCTGGTCCTTGTGACATCGTCGCTCGTCCCTCACTTCGGTGTCATCCCAAGGAACTACGACCAGAAAACCGACGGGTCATTTCCTACACAGCCGAAAATCGAGGTGTCTCACAAAACACGTGACATTTCACTTTCCGCGCGGGCCACATTCCACATGGGGTTCGAGCCGCGGCTCTGATTCACACAACAAAGTGAGCTTATGTTTCCCATGAAAATGCAGTGGACGTTCATGGATCTGACTATGGCAACTCGAGTCAGAGAACCGCTCTCAAACGGAGAGACCCCTGTCCCGATTGGCCTCTCTTCACACCCGAGTTCACTGTCAGCCCGGTGGCTGACGGTTGTGACCTCACGGAGACTTCACTCTCACCCATTTACCCACCGAGTTCTTTGAAGACACCGACTGACTTTCTGGCACCAGTCCCCTCCTGGTCGTGCCCTGTCGTAGGGTAATCGGTAGCTTCGCAGAGTTCGCGCGGCACTTGCTTCCGAATGAGCCTTCTCTACGTCTCCCCGCAACAGCAGCGCTCCCACGAAATCCGTGTCCACTAGAAACAAACAACGTGCGCAGTGCCTGGTTCGTCGCCGGCGCGGAGCAAGATGGCGAACGTCGTCGGCCGCAAGAACAGCCGGCGGAGAAGCGGTGAGCAGGCCGCCGCTAGCGGCGGTCTTCTAGGTGAGTCACCGCGCCGCTACCACCACAACACTGCGACGAACACTAGAAGACGACTGAAACCGCCGTCAGGGAACAGCGCGGCGATCGGTTTTTGCTGGACAGCGCGAATTCTGAGGAGCTACGGCGCACAAGCGTCGAAACTCCGGATATCGGCGGACTCCCGCGGAATTTACGGAAAATCGGTACAATTCAGAGAATTTCAACTCGTTCACGACGGATAGAGAGGAGAACCGTCGACGAAGCTGACGGAGCTCCCGGCCGGCATTCGACGAGGATCATAATCCAGATGCCCTTCGCGCCGATCTCGAGAGCAATTTCTCTCTCAGAACGGAGGGTCTCTAGAACTCGCGAGCGCGCTGAGCGTTAGCACAAACCCGGAAACTTTAATCTCACAGAGATACCGGTAGCGCGAGGCCATCTCTTGCATAGCGGGAGCTCTTTGGAGAGTAATTCCGAGGCCTTCACGGTGGAAACACTCCGGCTGCCGAGGAGTTATCGCGCCTGGAGATGAAACGTCAATGTCAATGAGCGGTCACGTGTTTCAAATGAGTCAAGGAAGCAATCTACGTCACGTTTGACGACCAGTAACCCTCGAATAATGACCGTAGGCAGCATACAAGGCTAATTTTAGCCGGATCCCACCAACACAATTTTTGCCGGACCGAGTCGCAAGCAATCCGACTCTGTGGACCCTCAGCTCGCCAGTGGACATCCGAAGGAGCAAGTGAGCGAGGTCAAAGCATGTCGTGTTATGTCACTCGATCTAGGAGAGCCGCGGGCGAACAATCCAAGTGCAGCAGCTATCTGTGACATACCCATAAATGGCTGCTCTACGACAAGCCAGTCTTGCGGAATATCTATGTACGTCTCCATATCTTTCGGTCTCACTGCCTATCTCTACTTCGGTGGCTGTCAGCCGCTGCGGACCGATGATGCCGACAGGAGTGCACTATGAAAGAACGTAGTACAATGATTCGCTTCCGAAGCAAACAATCGTGTTTTGTTTGCACGCTCCGACGAACGCATAACAACCCCACGCTGTGAAAGGAAAAATAATCCTCGAGGAAAATGATATTTCGAAATCATGATATTAGGGAATGAGGAGACTCTACGGTCGGCTTCGAGCGCATGAGGTCACTGACAGCGTTCGGGAGTCAGCCCACCGCCTCGAAAGCAAACTTGGACTGTCGGCGAGTCAGCCCTTCGCGAACCGCAACTTTCCTCGCGAAGTTGTAACGAATCACTCTACCGGCAAGGAATCCTTCCCCTGGGCATGACAGATGCAGTCGGAACCCACGGCCGCCTCCATAGAATTTCGGAGACTCGTGCTCTACGCGATCACTCTGCGAACTCTGAAGTAGCGAAGTTTAGCGCGCTCGGGGAGCACCCGACAGGGAAACGCCGTGGCTGGAAGAATCAATCAGCTGAATTGTTTCATAAGCAAAACATTCTCTTCGCGCGAGCTTCAAATGGTTATTCGACCGAGGAGCAAGTTCGGACCCAGTTTAGGATCCGCGCATCATGCGGCGAACTAGACTCGGGTTCGCGACCCAATCAGGAAGAATTCCCTCATTTGTTCCGTTTCTCCACAGATCGTGGTGCTGGTTAATTTTTTCGCCGTCGGGATCGTCTTCTATCGAATGCGAACCATCAAGACCGCGACTGACAAGGATCTCATCAAGACCGTACGGAAGTGGACTCGGGGAGTCGCGGTTCTTGTTCCGCTGCTGGGGCTGCCGTGGCTTTTCGGACTGCTGATGCTAGCCAATGACAGGCAGCTCGTCATTATTTCAGCAGTCATCTTCAATGTATTTGCCGTTCTTCAGGTGAGGGATCTGTTCTCGGAAACTTGCTCGCGGTACCTGCTGACGCTGATTGAATTATGGTGTTCCCTTGTAAAAACCCGAGCTGTTGCAGGGCCCTGGAATTTTTCTCACGCAAGTTTGGTTCAGCGACAAGAAAAGAGATTCTATCGCTCGCTACCTGTCCAACAAAGGCCGTCTCGCCATATTCCTTTCGGTGAGTCCGGATACCATGCAGAACTCGAGTCTCGAGCTCGTGGTCGGAGAAAAGCGTTCGATATCCACGTCGGAGAGCGACCAAAACACCGGACAGATTCCAACTATCTACCAGCACTCGAATGCCTCCCTTTCTACTCACTTTGATCTGTCCAGCTTCCATTTTTCTTCTTTTCTTCCCACTTGCGGCAATGTAGAGGAAACCAAAAGTGTCCGCTGAGTCTCGGAGTAGTTGTGAAGAGCGATCAGGCTCCGCTCGAACTCCGCTTAACGAAAAACTGACTAGTGATTCCTGCGCAAAGTAAGTGGACGGATCTGCAGCGCCAGATCACGATCGCAGAGGCGGACAAGTTGCGACGATGTTTCTTTGCTTTTCGATCGTTCGAAACGTTCGTTTCCACGTGTTTAATGTATGCCGCGTCATCAGGCATTCTGAAGAAGCGGATGAGCTCGGAGAACGCGGCTGTGTTTCGCGACCGCTCGTGGATGTTTTGAACGAGGCGACGTTTGACGCGTTTGACACGCAGAAGAATGCATCGCTTATTCCGATGAATATTGCACCCGGCAGAGCGAGCCGTACCAAAGCTTTGAGTCTCTCGATATATGCCCGGCTGCTTCCTCGCTGGACGAGGCAGCGGCTCCCCGCTCCCGTTTGATGTGGTGTCCCTCTCATTTAGTCAGCCTCGGGCTAAATAGCTTATTTAGGGAAAGACCGAATCGCAGGTGGACGATGCCAAGTCCGGTAGCGTCAGAGTACATAGGACTGCCGTCTTCGGTGGTGTGTTATTTGCGTTGCTGATATCGAAGGAGAAAATACCTTTTTTCTCCCGGAGAGATTTCCTCTCTGGATTTGATGAGTGCATGCTCTCTGAGTCCGGACGTGTATCCGATCGATATGCCTTTTCAGGATGGACTCGCGGTCAAGATAGTTTGGGAAATTGCACGTTTGATGAAGAAGTTCCCGATTGGGCTCTATCAGGGATTTGAGGCTCGAGGCTCGAGATCCTCCAAGTCGAACTGATCGATGACAGCATTCCATAATCATCGGCATTGTTCAGAGTGATCATCGATTAGAGAAGGTCGTGTAGCTACATGCCTCATACGGCCCCGCTGACTGACGATGCCGTGAGCCACGCACAGTGAAGTCATAATAGTCGACGTAGAACTTGAGGGCTCGACTTCCTCAAGACTCAGCCGCCTCCAGGAATGGACATCGAAGCCATGATGATGATTGACCCAGGCGGGCATTATGCCTGCTCTGTAAAGTCTTCCGATGGTAGGGATTCACGGAGGATAGAGTATTCACTCGGAGATTCTGTCCGTCGAGTACATGAAACGTGCATGGGCACGAGCCGAGCGAATCCATCAGGCTGATATTAAGTTCCTCGCAGTAATAAGGAGAGGAGGGGATCTTGTAGTTTCCTGAAAAAGCGACAGATCGAAGCGATGCGTCCAAATCGCGAAACTACCGAAGTGCTCTAGCTCCGAGAAAATTATTTCTCCTCTATTCTCCGGGAATGCTGGTTCTCTTCGGGTGGGAAAGTGAACGACAGCAGATTTATTCCTATTTACATTCTTGGTCCTGTGAAATGCTTCCCGGAATCAGGTTTCGGGAGAAGTTCCCGGATCCGGAATGGTACACCTAGAAAGAGGTCGGCTCCACCTGAAAAACTTGGGTCCCCCGCTGGGGAGCTGGCCGCGGACCGAGTGCCGGGATAGGAGAAACTCCCGGATCTTGGCCAATGTCTAGGGAGACGGATGATTGAATATACGCGACCTTTTCGCATGAAAAGAGGCTAGGGCAGGGCGTGATTCTTGGATGGAATCCAGCTCTCCGGCTTCTCAGATCCTCCCACATTTCTTATCCTTCACAATGCTCGCTGTAGCTCCGAGGTTTTAAGAATAATATCCGAGGTTTTAATAATGCTCCTATGCCGGATTGTTCCATCCCGACGCAGGGCCAAGATTTTGGTCCTGGACATCTAGTGGTATTCGACGCAAGAACGAATCCGTCATAGACAGCAGACTCATGAGACTCAATGTGAAGAATGTTTCTCCACTCTGTAGCGGATCTTCGCTCGTCCACGGGAATCGTCGGATTCGAGCGTCAAGTCCTCGAAGCTCTCGAAATCTTCGACCAGTGTTCGCGGCGGCGTCAATGCGAGAAACTAGCAATTTCTGATCCCGCAGAAGATCTCGACCAGATGAACGGAGTGTCATTGAAGTGCGGGTAAGTTCGTCAATGAGCGTCAGGTGAGGGAGTTTCTTCTCGCTTCTAAAATTGAGTCCATCGAGTTCGACACTTCGAATCTCATTGAATCCCTCCTTCGGCCGATCATCTCCGCCGGCTCGAATACCCCGACGGTATCTTGAAAGGCGTTTGCTTATCCCCAGATGGCGGAAGGAGAGTGTGCCGACAGCGACTCTCGCCTATAAGACTGGAACTGATGACGGAATGCCATTCTATCGATAGCTGGGCTGCGATGAGTATCGATGCCTCGAGAATTTCGGCTGACGGGCTTAGTCGACATCTAGGAGCATCTTTCGCATAGCTCGGAGAATGTTCACAATTCATCCGACCCCTGTTGTATACCGCGCCAGGTCTCACTATTATTGTACACCGACTGGATGAGGCCATGAAAGGGGTCTGCGCAAAAAAGTATAGTAATGAGCCTTACAAAAACATGCGGTTCCGACCCATGACGCGTCTTGCGAGTCCATAAGTCATATATTCATATACACATAAGAGTGACATGGAGGATAAATAAAAAATACGAACTCCGACCAACGGTAAGCAGTGGTTCTCTTCATGGTTCTCCGCTTGATCCGATAAGCTCACCCATCGAGAATCGAGACAGAATAGAGCCATTTCCAAGTCAGCGCTCCAGGCGCAATCTGCGGGGATGAGTTCGGAACAAGGCGAACCATTATATAACAATGAATATGAAATACATTAGCAAGGATGACATTATTGAGGAGCAGTGGCGTGAATAGAGGGACGGACACGGGGCTCGCGCCCCGAGCGCCGTTCCCGAGCATCCAAGAATCGGTTGATCGTTTTCGAAAGGACTGGAAAGTTCGCGAAAAAAATTCTCCCGAATACCGCCACTCCGAAGACTGGCGGTCGGAGGAGCCGCGAATTTCCGGAGAGGAAGGGGGAGAGTGAATTCGCGGCGAAGTCTTTTCACGCCACCATCGAGGAGAAAGCTTTCGCGAACGATGAGTATGATGACAGCATAAGTTACATGGGGCCCAGAATCATTTACAGTTGGTTTGATCCGTCGGCATGAGGAAATAGGTGGCGTAGGTCTTCGACCGCAGTCTCTCGTGCAAGGCACGTTTGATGGTAGAATCGAGCGTTTTGTTTCTCGATAGCACCCAGATATTCTCTGTAAGGATTTTCGTACAGTTTCAGTATCCCTTGCCTCGGGTCGTATGCGCAAAATTATTTAAATAGCAAAGCCCTCGAACCTCGACGCATGAATCCGTTGATGAGATTGTTCTGACACGCCCAGATGACAGCGTAGTTCTTATAATCGGTGTCAATCACGAAAGCCGGTGACCTGTACTCGAAGCTCGCTGTAGAGAAGAAAATAATTTGTTTTCCTTAATTGGTGTTTTTTTTCGAGACTCGATTGCGGGCCTGACTCTACGGAATCTCTCCGTGCTGCCTCCGACAGATTACGAGGAAACATGCTCCGTCAGTCTCAGCGCCAACATTCTCTGCTTTTTGCTCATGCAAGCTCCAAGAATGGCTCCGTCTCGCAGAAGTCACTGGCTCGCTGAGGAATATTACCTATCTCTATTCGATTCCATGTATCGTTCTTCGATTCAAGAGATCATGCAAGTCAGTTGATTCACTGACTCGGGGAAACCCGGCATACGTCGACGTTCTTGAAAGAATGCTTCGGTTCCTAATGCTCGTTTACGGCTTTCGTTTTCCTTCAAATGGGATGACTGGGATGAACGATAAAGCCGCTCGGGATAATGTTGATGGTATCAGAGTTCTTTGAAGCGAGGAGAAGCGGCCGATCACGCGAGCTCCGTCAAATTTCCCTCTCTAGGTCTCTGTCAACTGGACCTCACAGTGACTATTGGCACGTGGCGAATAGATGCCATATGCTGCCCTGGTGAAAGAGGACGAGAAAGATCGCGAGAATCGGCTTCACCAGAGCTGAGCACCACAGCCTCTCTCTCTCTCTGCGGGCGCCCTCAGCTGTATCAACTATGTAGCCATAATCATGTGGATACGGAGATGACCCCAAACGATTCGTGCGCAGACGAACACGAAAGATGTGAGTGGCCAGGGCGGTTTGCTTTATTAGCGGGGTCGAAACATGGACCTACCTCGGCCGAGATGTCGGGGTGACATCTCGAGGTTAAAAGTCTTCGCGATGCGCGATAAGCCTGCTCGTGAACTCGGTCAGTGGCTTCATGTGACATCTCATGGCCGAAATCACGAGCAGCCAGACCACAGCCAGAACGAAAGTCCCTCCCGATTTCTCACGATGCTTACAGACACTGCGACCATGATCCAATGCAGCACAGCGATTCTGCCAAACAAGCAGCGCATACTCCCCTCAGGACGGAGGCCGTGAGACTACGGAGCCTGTTTTTTCCCGAAACTATCGGAACGTAGAGCTTCGCCGGCGATCCGCGAGAGTGGATTGGGCTGAGCTTGACGATAGTCGCGCCTCAATCCCATCCATTCGAGAAGACTTTCTTTGGTGCCGTGGCGATTGTCCTCGGGCTCTGTGTGGACCCTCTGGACCCGTTTTAGCCATCTGTCTTTTCTTCCTCCTCCGCTCCACATCCCGCCGGATGAGCGACCAGGTTGACTCGTCGGATTGTCGGCCAGGGCGCAAGCCGTCCTCCTGACAGCAATGGCGGTGGTTTGGTATTCCGCCTCCGCTTGCGAAGCCGAATCCGCGCGACTGAGTAAGATCGGATGGTGCGCTGCAGCAACGCACCGCGTCACGCAGAGCCAGACCGCGGAACTGCGATGAGGCTGTCAATGCCGCAGCCGGTTTCTGTTTCAAGCTGCGGATACTGGGAAGCCTTCCCTGGGTTTCCGCCGAATGTCATCACATGACAGCATGTCTTCCATTATTCTCATGTTTTCCCGCTGCGGACGAGAACTCCCAGAAACGGAGGGTGAACTTTCGAATCTACTCCCATGCCATCCGAATTATAGGGCGGGATGGAGCTCCAGCGCGCGAGATCCGGGACGAGAAATTGCGTCGCATCATCATTAATCATTCGAGGGCTGATCTTTGCCTTGGAGCGCTCCGCATCGGATGTCCAAAAGAACGTAGGCCTCGACGAGCTCAATGTAAACGGTGAGCCCATGCCAACAATTATACCGGGGCGGTGAGCTTTTGTTCGCGTTGCTGCATAAAAACAGCGACCGAGCTGACGGAAGAGCTCACAGCGGAGTGATCTCGCATGCGGAGCCGAGCTTTTCATAGAGGCACAATTTCTCGAGTCAAGACAATGCCCTGCAGCAACAGTTAACCAATCTTCTTGCTTCCCCATTCCGTCTGGATTCCGCTCACACCAAGCGGGAGAACCTGCGGCCGGTTGGAATTCTCCGCCAATGACGTTTCAGACCCTGCTGCTTGTTCACGCAATCCGCCACTAAGTTGAGGGTAGCGGCTGTCACCCTGCTCGCGGTTCAGTTTCTACGAGCGGATCAATGGGAAAACACCGAGTACATGAGCTCCTTCAAATTATAAGCATCGAGGTCTCTCGGGTCGATGAGGATATTCGAGCCGAGTCGAAATCTTGGGGGAGTTCTTCGCGGGCTCCTGACGATTAGGTTGTTGTTGTTGTCCTTGTTCATGGGGAGTTCGATCCGTTTTCTCCCGGTGGGCGGGGAGGAGGAGCCGCATATGATTTCCCGACCGAGAAAAAAACATACGGGGCATATCGGAACCGCGGCTTGTCTCACTCAGAGAGGATGGACGGGTTCTCTGAGACATCTCTTTCCATTCCTCCAAGAGATTCTCCCGTGGCCAGTCTTGCTGATTGTAAGGTGCATCTGACCCGAGGGCTCTGAAAAGATATCCCTCCGTTTGTGTACGGGCTGCCTGATGCTTCCGATGCATCGTCCTAGACTTTGACATTTGGGGAATATCCTCATCGGGGAGCTAAAATAAGCCTCAGACAAGCGTACGGGATTCCGCGCGGCGCTCTCCCCAACGATCGGAGATTGCCGTCAATAGGGCCCCCAGCGAATGCTACAAATAAAAGAGCATGATGAAATTCCAGGATCGTTGTGTCCCAGAGGCCCAAGATCCGATCATCCACGCAGAGCTCCATCTTCCGTCTGCCGATGACATCATGCCGGACTGAGAATCTCATCTTCGAATTTCGGGTGATCAAAATCCGAGGAGGATTCCTCTTCTCTTCCCGAAGAGTTTCTTTGCCACGCCAGAGACCGTGACACGCAACGGGCGATAAAATGGTAGCGAGCGTGAACGAAGAGGAAGAAGACACGACTCGTCTCGATGAAACGATGATTGAAGCGTTTCCGGTGGGTTAGAGTCACGAGCGTCACGACGACTCTGTCAGAGAGGTGTGATCCCAGCGCACTCAAAATAATTCCGCCGGCGTGAAACTGGGAGCGGGAATCTTCATAGGATCTCAATGAGGATTCGCACGAAACCGATGCAAAGTTCGCGACCGATTGAGATATCGAGGCATGAATGACGAGCGACAATGCGAGGTGGAACCAAAGAGAGAAGGTCTCTCGATCCGAATACGGGTCCGGCCGAGAACTCTTGGGGATTTCAGCGAGGAAAGATCATCGCTGAAGTTGACTCGCTCCATCGAAAAGCACGTGGAGGCTTCTCTCTGTATTGTCTCGCGGACTTCACTCTAATTCAATCGCCTCGTGGCCTCCAGTCGAGACCGTTGCCGGCGGACTGTCTGGCTGTTTCGTTGGCGAGTAGATGGGCTGTATCGATTAGTTGCTTGGTTAGTCGACGGCTCGATCGGCTTGAAGTGGCTAAAACCATCATAAACATCCTCGCAGCCGACTGCAGTCGACATCATGAGGTCAAGATCGAGTCCTCCCGTCGGGCTGCTTCGGTATCTCCTCATTGTTATTTCGGCATCGGCACACTCCTCGAGCATGGCAGCCCGTGAAACTTCTAGCGCCGATTTTCCCAGACCGATATCGAAGTGGAGACTCAATTCCGTCGGAGAGCTGTCGCGTGGACTCGTTGGAACGACTCGAGGGAATATTGTATTTGCGGTCCGTCGGAACGCATCATAAATACTCAATTGGACCATTCGAAGCGGCATCCACGGGAGAGATGGCACCAGCACGGGAGCGCCGTCCTCGAAGTAGACCACGCCGTGAAACTTGAAATTCTGATTGTTTGTCCGAGTCGAAACAGGCAAAGATGACGAGTGAAAGAGAGAGAGGAGCTCTGATTAGAATTGAAGCGATCGGAATCGATGATTGGCGTTTCCGTTGGTACAACGAAATGGTTGCGGCGTAGGGCAGCCGGATGCATCCCATTGAGTTCAATCGAGGGGATTTTGTTCAACGACCACGCTGAGCTGCTTTTTGGCCTCCGAACAGTTTCTCTCACTCAGTGTGTTTGTCGCGTCGCTCTTCTCAACGATTTGTTCGGTCGTTCGTCCGCTTACTTGCTTTCTTTTCTCTCTCACTCCCTTGTTTGTTGGCTCGCTCGTGTGCCTTCTCGTCGTCTCCCTCGGTCAAGTCAGCTGGACCCACGAGCTGATCTCATGATTCGGCGCTCCACATATCAGAAGATTACCGAAGCCTCGATACTCAACGTGGCCAAGTCCCACGCCATGTACCGAAATATTCCCAGCGGGGACATCTCCAACGATGGCGACTTTTTTCGCAGCCTCTTTCGTTAATTCTCTCAAGCAATGATGCACTGTCGGTCGTCGCGTCGGCGTGATCGAATCAGATTGACGCCCTGGTCCACTGTGTTAACAGTGATGATGTGCAATCCCGCGGAATGCCTCTCATACCCGCTTCTCCATGTTTGCTGGCTCTATTTGCACTGCTCGTCTGCCCAGCTGACGCATCGGAAATAATAGGCGGAAAGCCTGGACAACGCTAAGCGCCCAAAGAGGAGAGAGCTCTAGTTGGACGGTCGCAAGCACTCAGAGCAGCTTCGAGATTTAATTTAAAAGTCGGAATAAAAGCCCGGATGGAGGATGCGATCTCATCGATAATGCAGAAAAAATGTTTCCGCAGAGATTCACTCTGAACTCTGGAGACCGTGCTGCTAGATGCGGCGTCCCGACTACTGTCGTACATGCCGCTTGTCCCGTGCCGGAGCGAAGACTCAGCGCTCCGGGGTACCTCTCGAGTACCGAGCACTGCTCTCTCAGTCATGTACCCTCACAGAAGAGCGTGGCGCTCCTCAGATCTAATTGAGTATAAATAGAGAGCAATTGGGTGCATGGCCATTCTCCGAGACGGAGTAGAGAGATGTGTCTGGTCCGTTGTGGATAACAGCATAACCCACGTTCTGGTAATATTTCGTCCTTCGTATGATCCTTCGTAAGCTGGTCGCCAGATTACTGATTGCGTTGCCATTCGCGTTGTGAACCTTGGTGAGCTGCCATCGTCCTATTGGGAGTCGCAGTGAAAACTAAGAGACTTCTAGGAGGCCTGGCACGCTTTTCGTTCAAGAACTAATTGGTTTTGTTCGTTGCCTATCGCTCGGAAATGTGGTCAACTCAAGCTAAGTACTGGCGCCGTAGGAGTATGAATTATTGTCAAATGACCCACTCCTGCGCGCTGTTGTGCTTACCCTGGGTACCACGAGTCTACTCGATTCGGGCGTCATTCGTCAGCGTGAGGTAAATCGTGCTTGTTCATTCGCCGCATTGAAATGAAATATGTCCGCCGACGAAACGTATAGGTAACATGCCGTGCATGGGGCTGCGGTGCTAAGACGCTCCGATAGTTGCTTGCGATGTCGTTAGTGGGAAAGATCTCCGGGAATGCTGAATTATTGCTACATGGTGGAACGAATTCATCGATTGTGATCGCGGCGAAAGTTCCGAACTCGAGAGAGTCGGTTCCCTGATTTCGCCGATTTCCGACGTAGTGGCTCGTGGAAATTCTTTGCGTTCGTGCATCTCGCATAGGAACCCCTGCCCATTAACATACTGTATGGCTGCCCAGCTGGCTCGTTATTACGGCAACGGTTAACTTACGTGTTTTCATATGCAAACTGAAGGGTCCCTGGGCATTGGTGAGTATTTCGCCTTCGATCGAGAAGCCTTCTCCGCTATGGAATCCGTGGAGAGAAAACGTGTTAATAGATATTTTGGTTTCCTCGGTGCACGGACCGACTCCGAATAGACAGAAGAGAATATTTATGTAGGGATCGTGTCGAGCGAGTTCGTTCCTCGGGACAGAAGCCCTGCCTCCCGATAAATCTTGCTAGGACCCACCGAAGTTGCATTTGCTTGGCCAGCGCTGCACCCCGGGTCCGAACAAAAACAGATGCCTCGAAAACGAATGTCCATCTGGCGAATTCCAAGCGAAAGCCAGCGCTTTTCCTCGCCGCCTTTCCCGCCCGCATATCTCACAGAGTGGTTTGGCAGCATGAGTGGCCTTACCAGGGGTTAGGTGATGGAGTGTTCCCCCAATCGCTTTCCTAGACTCGAACCTCAAAGCTCGGGTCTCGGCCCTCAACCCGAGAAAAAAAAACCTTGTGCGTACTCTATGCGCATCGTTCACGCCAGCGTAATTTATAAAACCTTTCAAATAAAACCGCTACCGCGTGGAGCGTTCCTATATGCGATCGAACACTTTTGGCGCTGAGCGTAATTGAGTACATTGAAATTTAGGCCTCGCTCGTAGACGAGCGAGCGAGAGCCGGAGCTTCGAGTTCAAGCTCTAAGCCGTGCCGCGAGTGAGAATGGACCGTAAATTCTAGCTAGGTTCCCGCCGCGATCTCTTCTTCATCGCTCCGGTTTCGAGTGGCTATTGTGATCCTTGTAGAAAATCCGAGCTTCCTCTCCTGGGAGACGGCGCAATGCTCGATTCAAATTAAGTCGGGCTTGACAGTAGGGACTTCGCGCTCCGCATGACGTTATCTGCTTAATCGGAGAAGAGAGCTCGCGAGAGATTCCAAGGAATACCAAGGGCTCTATGGTGAACATTACTGCGTCGGGTTCCCACCAAAACCAGCCTCTGAACTCTTTCTGACAAGGCATCAAAGAATTGTCTCCTGACAAAGAGCTCATACTCACCGGATCTGCTCAGCCAGCTCCTGTCCTCGTCTGATGAAAAGGGAGAGAAACGGAAGTGTCTTAGAACGGGGTAAACGAGTCTTCACAATATTTGGTTTTGCCTTGTTAGCTCGGCTAAAGTATTCATGAATATCGTTTGCGCTTCAATCAGGGATCGTGTCGGCTTGTTGCTTAGATCATATCCAGCCATTTCGAATTAATTTGGTAATGGGATAACGTCCGGGTGAGCAAGCCAGACAGACAGACGATTCAATACAAGTTGTTCTGTTTTGCCGATTCCGAAGAAGACTACAAGCTCCGCTAGACGGACAGAGAAACCGGAAAAGAAGTCTTGATTGCAGACGTGTTACGACGGCTCGGGGAGGCAAGGATAATTTCAGCGTTTACGAAAGCATCTTCTCCACAGTAGTTAAGGCTTTTAGGAATTTATTGGCTGCACATTTCGGCTCCCTCGACGCGGGCAGATGTCGAGGCTTCCATTGAGAGCGTTGAGAGGAGCCTTCCTCGAAAATTGGATGGAATGACTTATCACGAGAAGAGCGCGTCTTTCAGAGGAATGACTCACGGCCATGCGACGCAGCACGCGTCTCGTCGGAACCGCCTCGGCAGAACGATAGAAAAACAAAGGTCATATCCATTCTCAAGCCGAGGATACAAGCTCATCATTAGGCGCAGGCGGACAATGAGTATCAAAAGCGAGCCAGCGAAGAATCCTGTCGTAGTGAACCTCACGGCTATCACTCTATCGGTGATCGCATATGTTGTCAAATACCATCATGAAACTCACTTTGTCCATGTCTCGATTGTGGGTGACATGCTGTTGACGTTGTTGAGGAGTTGTCCCGTGCTGAAAGGTGATTCAAAATTCCATTATGGATATTGAAGGACATGAGTTATCGACACGGAGGAAAAACTTCCGTTCGGCCCCGACGATTATTCTGAGTTTCGGTTCTCCTCAAGGAATTGTCGCGTGAACGTGATTATAATGACACAATTCCGTAGTAGACTGCGACGGGATATAAGAATTTAGGACTTACGCATCGCTAATATCGCTGCCGAACTTTTGAACTGTTTGGACAATCCCTTTAGCAACGTTCGTCACCGAGGGCTTAGGTGGATGATTGTCGTTCTTATCCTTGTCAGAATCCTGAGCTCCGTTGTCATCGGCATTGGACTCGAGGGGCTGTTGTTTCTTCCTCTTGTGGCTGAAGCTGTGCTTATTTGACTGTTTGCGTTTTTTGTTCTCCTTCTTCTCCTCGTCATGATTCGTTTTTTGGTACTTCTCTCGGAATTTTCTCGGCTTGCTTATGGGCTGGTAGTCACTGCTCGAATCGTCTCCGTGGTCCTTCATCTTTCTCTTGGCACCGGTATCCACGTCGTTGTCGCTGTCAGGCTTCATTTTGATTTCCTTGTTTTTTCGTCGGTTTCGTCTGTGCCGCTTCCTCGAGAATTCTTCGAGATCGTCAACGTATTCGTCGCTGTCCTCCTTGAACGCCTTCCGGTCCTTGGTCCTCCTCGGGGACGCCTCCGTCCTTCTGAGGGTTTCGTTGAGTGCAGCGTAGTTGGCAAAACTGCGCCGTTCCCTCTGATGTGTTCGCGTCAGACCGAAACCCAAAATAGGAGCAGTTTCAGGTGCAGAACGCAACGAAAAGAAATCCTCAGAGCTGAAATTCCTCCTTTTATTCCATGAGATAATCTCTTTTTTCCCGGAACACAGGGAGGAAACTCGGCGGGGATATATTTTGTGATCGTTGAATGCTCGGGAAGAAAGTCCCGAGTCCTGGACGGGACAGCTTCCAAGGCAGTCAAATGAATAAGTACGGGACAGTGGAGAATGCTAACCAACGCGCGGAATTCATCAACAACATCTGGTAATCGATCAAAGCCGCGTTTTTTTCACGGTCCAGCTCTGATGACCAGTGGCTCTGTAACAAATGGATCAACCGCATGCTTCCCTGCTCCACGCGGGCTACGTAGGCTCTACGGCTCCCTGATATTGGTATTGGTAGGAGGAACAGAAGGAACCATACTGAGATCTGGAGGAGATTTATGACCGGTTTCCGTTATGCCCGACTCGTAGATCGGATGCTGTTTGGCGATTCAGCTGACCGTCCGGCTAAAGGGCAACTGAGTCTTGCGAGATAGTAGTAATAAGAATTATGAGCTGTCGGTAACAAAGGTTGTGCATCGATCTCGAGCGTCAGATCAACATCAAGGAACAGACCCGTTGAGAGGTCACGTCCCCATGCCGTCGCTCATGCTGTCGCGCGAGCATTGAAATCGGAGCCGGAAGTTGGAAATCGCAGCAAAAAGAGGCAACGAGCGAGGGAGCATGCTCTGAGCCTGAATTCCATCCGATCCACTCGCATAGGCCGGGGCTTGGAAGCCTGCTAGGCGGGGATTACGCGGTTGCGTAATCCCTGCTTTATTTCCTGCTTTCTTCCGGTAGCTCATTCATTCATCGATTCGCTCGTAGATCTCGCTTACCTAGTCTGGCTGAGCATCGTCGAGACTCTGTAAGAGGATAGGGGGTGCTTACATTCTACGCGGACTACGACGGACAGTGCAAGCAGTTCCGAGACCGAAAGGAACGTCTTTTCTGTCTCCTTTAATTACATTTAATGCCCCCCCCCCGGGCCGCGTGGGAGCAATTGTCTGGCCGAGGATCTAGTTACATGAATCAGGTGTCTGCCTGTGCACTCGGGTCTCGGTTCGCAGTTTCCTCTCAAGGTAACGATTTTTTGTTCACCAAGTAAGGATGAACTCCGAGGAAAAGAGGCGGAGCAAACAAGGAGACCGCAACGTCACTGTTCCGAGGAAAATATTCCTCTCGGAATGGTGAAGCAGCAGATATCAATCAGACAGCATCAAGGAAAACTTACGATTGGCGGTTCCCTTTCATGTAGACGATGATGCCTTCGTCGCTGTCGCCTTTTTCTTGGTAGTGGAATTTGTTGCAACGGATCATCGTCTCCATCAGAAACGGAGTTCTCTGCACCTCGTACCAGGTACCCATGAACTGTGAAGGATAGACCCTCGTTTTGGGATTGGCGGGAATGATGGTCAGATCATTGTCCTCGTGGGGGATTCCCGTGGGCGGCGACAAGGCGATTCTTGATATCGCTAGCCGCTGCCTCTCGGACGTCGCCGGGAGAAGCCTCGGCCGCTCTCTGCTGGACCGAGGGTGAGCCCAGCACGGTCACGAGACTCCGAGTGAGCCGTGACAGGTCGATAGGGTTGGAACCCCGAACGAAAAGGGGAGTACCGGCGATTACTTTGATTGAGGAGCCAGTTTTAGTACGCCGAGGATAAGTGCGGGTTTGATTCAGCATGGCTATTCAGAGATTTCTGACGCTCGAGTATTTCCGGCAGAGCTGGGCGCGTGCCGCGAAAACGAGAAGAAAACTTGACCACGGGAGAACTTGATTGATGGGATTCTGCTCTGTTCTTGACTGGCGACACGATTGACGTCATAAACTTCCCTACGGGTCGAGATCCCATCCGTAACCTCCAAAGAAAGGATACTTCGGGACAAGGCCAAGTATGTGGAATCGATCTCAGTGGATGCGAATACCCAAATCCGGTTTGTACTGGCCGCGCACTTGGATTGCGAGGAACGTCTTCGATTATCCGCGGTTCTCCACGAGAATCTACTAGAAGTCCGTCTTAGGGGACGATCGAGCTCCTATCGAGGAGCAGGCAGCTGATCTTCGAGTCGGATTTTTCGTATAGGATTTCTAAGATCGGTAGCGACTTCCCAGAAATCTTCTGCGTATAGAGTATAGAGAATATTCCCGAAGAAGCACTCATGGCACTCACCCGCTCGTGATCAAAGTCCTCGATAGCTTTTAGTTGACTGGGACAAAGTCCAGGCATCACCATGGAAAACACTGGAGTCACAAAAACGAACAGAAAGAGCTCCGTCCAAAGATCGCCCATGATTATCGGTCGGATTCAGCAGACTGAGCTGGTGTGCGATCCGTCGTGGGGCTAGAATCACACTGAACCACAGATGAAACGAGGAAGGAGCGGCTTGCCGTAATGAAAATGAGTTACTGTCTGATGCCGCGGGTGCATCGGCTTACATTGCTCGCGCCGCCGTGAATATAAATCCCGCGTGAGGGGAGCCAAGGGGAACGGATTCGATTCAGACTTCATCATTCCGGGTGCCCCAGATCACACATCGACATCGCAAAAACGTCTCGGTGGCATCATTGTCCCGCTGAGACAATACTCACTCCCCTGTTGGATAATTCTTGTATCCCGATATTATAAGAGGCGGAGAGCTCACCCAGGCAGGCAATACTCCGCGGGATACCGCGGACGTCAGGGAATTCATCACGTGCCTCATCGGGAGCGAGACAGCGGCTCAATCAACTCGTGGGCAGAATGCACTGTTTATGCAAATGCGCCATTTTTCGTGATTAGTGAGACGGCCGCGTCTCAGTCAGCCGATGTCGATTCCATGCAAGAAAATGTATCGGCGGGAGATTGCCATTGATAATTGTTTCACTGGCTCGAGTCGATGATCATCAGGCCATACCCGAAGCATTATGCCCCTCGTCCGCACGATTATCGAGTCTTGCAAAGCGAAAAGTGAATTCGACTTCTACACAGTTTCAAACTCTTTCAGCGTCGTCTCGCGGTGCTTTGCTTTCCTCTTTCTTCTCCTCGAATTCGAAAAATATATTTGGCCATGAAAACTGATCTGTTGAACCGCTGGGAAACGCGAACCGGGATCGTTGGTCCTATGTCCTTCCGCGGTGGTCGTACTATTTTTGCCGATGAGCAAGCTGAGAGGTATCATCTATGGACCGGCTAGACCCTCATAGAGTTTCGCTCCCGGTTTGAATGACTTGCTCCAACGACGACGTACTCCTTTTGATGACTACTATCCTCCGCAGTTGGCTGTTCTCATCATTCGAGCGTCCCGCCCCAACCCCTACACTCCATATCTCTGACTTTTCCTGTCCGTCCTCGCGTCTGTGTCTGATGTAAGTCGGCGAGACGTGGCCACGCTCGCCGGAGACGTCGCACGATGTGGCGGGGGGGAATGCCGCCGAGGATGGTCGTCGAAAGATAGAGTTGATTCTCTGTGGGTCTGGAGCGCCACGGATATCTGCATTTGAATTGCACCAAACAAGCTCAGTCGAGTTCGTCAGCGACACAACCGAGTGGAGGACTCGCTCGAGCGTTGCCTGCCCAGAACAAGCGTGGCCGTGTTCTGGACTGCTGCTTCTGTCGACTAGGTGACGGCTTGATTCTCAACGAGAAACGCCGCGGTTTCTTCGGCGATGCCGGTCCACTCGGATCGATGACAGCTCTCCCAGATGATCCTATGGGAGCGAGTCATCGTCAAAAACCAACAGAAACCCCGGTCATGATCCGAGCCGCTCAGCGAGTGTTGAAAGTCAGAGATTCTCGGAAAGCTTATGTTTTTCTCGACCTTCCCCTCGTCGAGATGTGTTGGTACGGTTTACTGTTCGGGTCAATCCTTCGCTTCCGTAAACACACGACGCTGAGCGTAATCAATGCTAACATATGCTGACTGGCCAACCGCCAAAGACGGCACCGTGGGCCTCTGTTCTCAGCTTTCGGACGAAAAAGACGATATAAACTCAATCGCTGGAACTATTCGCAGACTACCGCACGAACATGAGTGAGACAACTCGAGCCTTGAAGATCTTCCATATTATATGGATCGTTGTCCCATGCTTGAAAAACGCTTGAGAGCTCCTGCGGTCGTCGGTCGAACGGGAGAAGAATTCCAGGGAGGTGGTCTCCGATGAATAAAGACTAAATCTGGGTGTCAGTATCAGCTCTCACTGAGTCGCGAGGGTTCTCTGAATCGTCGCTAAGACCTCGATATTCTCGAATGACTCCCTGATAATGACCGTGCCGGACGTTTCTCAACAACAGATCGCCTGGACAGCCGCGATTTTGCGCGAGCGCTCAACGAGCTTCACGGCCATTGCATTTTTGAGAGTCTTCGAAAATTCATTCGGCTGTGAATTCGTGGTGGATGATGTCTTCCTGTATCGCGTCGGACTTCCGAATGAGGACGACGAAGGACAAGCAAAAGCTCGCTCGATGCTTGACCGACCAAAGGGATGTCGAAGGACCCTTCCGATGGACGGCGGGTCGGCCGGCCGACGTCCGGTCGTAGTAGAGCCGGAGGTGACACTCCACCAGATATCCATTGTTTGCAATGATTTCTTCTAGGGGTGTATGGATGGATGCTTCCCCGTCGGCATTGTTCTCAGCACGACCTAATTGGTCTTCAACGAACGAACAAACGAACGAACGAGCCTAGGCCAGGTTGAGTGGGAGCCTGACGAATCCGTTCGTATCTGTGAGAAGAAGAAGTGTACTACTCTTTTCGTCCGATCGTCAGCCCCCGTGCTCCGGATTGTGTATCGCAGACGGGTGTGCTTCCTTTCCGTGCGATTGAGACACTCACGGACGAACGGCTAGTCGGTCGGTCGGTCGGCCCACCGACCGCTCGACCGTCCAAACGAACGCTCTCTTCTTCTCGAGCATTCCCTTCCTCACGGGAAATTCCCTCTCCGAATACTCCGTTTCCCTGTTCCTCGCTGTTCCCACTCGCAGAGAGAGAGCTCAGAGATCGTCTCGAGTTCGCGGACCACGAGCACCGGCTGCCGGCGAAAGAGCGCATTGTTCTGTGCACCGCTGGATTATAGATTTTCCTATTCTCGGCAACGGACACGAGTTTTACGACTGTTCGTCATCACACTCGCTCGAGTTGAATGAATGTTTGTTTGTGTGGACCTGTTGTGCTGCGTGTAGTGACCGTGTCGGTGATTCGAATCTGACAGTGGGTGCCGGTCTCCGCACCCGAAGTGACCTACTGCTATCTGTCTGACCGACAAACTGACTGAATTCGTCACCACGCTGATCACTGAACATGTGTGATCTCTCTGATCTCGATGCGCGCGTGAAACGGTACTCCCTGGCTGGATTTTTCTATCGGCCTGGTTCGAATTGAATCGCCGACTCTTTTCCCGAGCTGCGAAACTGTGGACTCGAAGTGAAACTGGGAATTTATCCCGGTGCTAACGTTTGAAAAAAAGCGGAACGCTGGCCGTGTGGACTCTCTCATCCACTCCACTCTCTATACGGGCTCCTAAAAACCGGATAGTCCGAGCTAGGATCGTGGAAGGTTCGCTTGGAAGTGCTATCAAGGGACCGCTTTGAGAGGGAAGTTGCCCCGCTGCCGTCTGGGTGACAGATCTACAGACGAGCTCGAAAGCTATACCTACAGACAAGAGGCGGAACGGCCTGGAAACGGGGACGAGGAGTGTGAGTTGGATAAGGACTGACCGAAGAGAAAGCGACAAAGTGGAAAACCATCCGAGCAGTCAGTTAGCCAATCGGGATACGGAATAGGCCAGAAGAAAGAAGAGTGGACCGGACGAAACTTCAGTCGATTCAAGACATGGCTTCGTGATACGTACCGAACCAGGTGAGCCACCGAAGAGAATTGAGCGGGGCTGTGTGTAGGCTACGTTTCCGTAAAACGCTGCGGACAGATATTCGGAAACCCTTCGAATCCGATAAGCTTCGCGTAAATGTTTTAAAGTCACATGAATTTACCTTGATTCACTTCGAGGAGGAAGGTGCGCTCTCCAACTTGATTTCGGAGAAGGAAGTCAAGCCGCTCGCTTCCATCCCATCACTCCTTTCCGTGGTAAAACGCTGCTCGCGAGGGAGATCCCGAGGATCAGCGAGGACTTCCGCCAGAATTCCCGTGAGAGTCCCCATCCGAGTTCCCCTGAGTTTCTCCCTGTCAATTTCCTCGGAGGGTTCTCCACGGAGTTCCGTGAAGAACGTTTCAATCCGCGAATACCGACGAGATTGGCAAGCGCCTTCCTTGATTCCGCCAAGAACATTTTCGAATCCGGAATTCGATTCCGGGAGTGACATCAAATCGGCCATGAGCGACACGTGGAACTCCGGCTGGTAGATCAAGGACAACATCCGAGCTGCCCATTACCGAAGGCGAGCTGAAACGCATTCCTTATCGCAAAGTTACAAATGTGCCAACCGTCGCGTCGTTGCATGGCGATGACGGACTCGCACCAAAAATCGGAAAACTCTCTCCGTTGATCAGACATACATAGCTCTGGCGGTGCGATTGTCTATCGCACTCATAGAGAGACTTCAGATTGAGAACGCGATTCCTATTTTGAATGCTGCGGAGTTGAAAGAAGACTCAGGAAGCTTTTCGACCGTGTCGGGCGGAATCAGTGCGTAATCCCGATGGGCTCCCCCACGCCAGTCGGATTCACGGCTTGTGGAGATGCATCAATGAAGAAATTTACATCTTCGTAAGTTGAGTTGATATCGAGGATTACCTTGCTCCGCAAATCCTGCAATTTCCTTACGAGTCGAACACCTCTGACCTCACTCCATAGCGAGGGATGCTCGAACGCAGTCTCGTATCCTTTTCCGTCCATGCACCAATTCCGTGACGGAGAGAATTCGAATCTCATCGTGTGTGACGGGAGAGATCGAGTAAATTCTGGGTCTCCATCGCAGAAACTGTTCCAGTGAGGCGACAGGGTCTAAAGGTGTAGAGGACCGCATGGTCGTGAGTCGTGATGGATGAGAAACCTCGTTTTTCGTCCAAAAATTTTGAACTTGTTCGACCAACGTGTTTTCGTGAGCTATGAAGTGGAAGGAACGCATAACGAGAGCGGAGACGAATCGACTGGAAACAGCAGGATAACAATCGAAGCCGTTCGGAAACACAAGCGAGTTTCTCTGTCGGAGATTTCGAGTGAGGAAATCGAAGTCGGAGGAAGGAAGAAAGGATTGACTGTGAGGAACGTGTGTTCTCTCGTGTATAACAATCCAGACCTCCCGCGAGTAAACACTCCCGGCGATGGGTTTCGAGTTCGACATCTGCGAGATACCTTCTGCGCCCCAAGACGACTACCCGCGTCGTCAAGTGTCTCCCTTCCTCAGCCCGCCGCTTCGATCAGAATCAATATTAGGAAAACTCTTTTGACGGGACCACGGTTCGGTCAAATCGAACGTTGGGAGCCGACTCCACGCCAGGGGACCTACCTGAAGGGCAGGGAGAGAGCTTCAGGAATAATATGCAATGTATTTTCGCGCGATCACTTTATTGCCCCAAAGTCGTTGGTGGTGCTCGGAACCTATTATCAAGGGTCCCATAGCCATAGCAAGCACCGCGTGCGTCAGTTTTGATCCGACTTTCGCTAATGTCCCCAGCAGGAGCGAGGAAATTAGCAGAAAAAGTTTAATGGTTCGGAAAACGGTGCCCAGCCTCTGAGGAGATTGAGTTTGCGGCTCCAGCGGCCTCTCTCGGGCCCATTCGATTCGAGCGGAATAAAATGAGCGTGCGAGGACCGACAAACTTGCGAACTAGTCTCGAAACGCACGTGATGTTGCTTTTACGGACGCGCGGAGACCTCGGCTCGCTCCACAAGACGGTAACATATAACAGGCAATTGAAGAGGCGCCTCAATAAACAGGCTCCACTCGTCGTTGGGAAGACGGTCTCGTTCAAGGATATAACACGAGGAATCGTATTTCACTCGTGTCTCGAACAAGTCTTGTGTACGATGCTGTCACCAGAAATTCAGAATCGACGGCGGGTCACGGAAGGGGGGCATATACTTTGGATATCAAAATCCATCCGCATGAGCGGAATCAATCCCTCCGACTGACGTCGAGGCTCTTGGATGCTATACATTGAGTTTCGCATCCGGAATGCTTTTTCTTCAAACATTCAATCAGTCAGTCTGTCCATCAGCTGGTGAGTCAACTCATTCCCGCGCGTGGCCGATCATTAGAGCTGCTAAGCCGCCAGAAAGGGGAACTCGCAGCCAACGTGCCCAGCCGCTGTTTCTCACCGAACGGGAGATTACGAAACTCGGAGGGAACTTCCGATTCTCTCCGCTCGTCATTTCTTCCGCTCTCTAGTTCGGTCCGCTTCCGCAATCGTTCGCCGCTGAATTCTGAGTGCGGTAGAATGATGATTCAAGATGTTTTGATTCCGATCCGGAAGACAGCGAGGACTCGATTGCTCACCTTCGTCCTCCCCGAAATCATTCATTCAAGCATTCCCGATTCAATCGCCGCTCCTTGTTAGCGATTTGCGAAAAATGGATGCCTCCGAGGAAACCAGCTCATGATTTTCCGGAGAAAGCATTCCTTCAAGTGTCGAACGTGAAAAGTTGGTAAGAGTTCATGGCTCGATTGGCCCGTCCCAAGACATGGTCTTCGTCGGTCACCAGGATCGCTCGGGGATCCTCCTCCGCCTGTAAGCGGCTCGTTCGGCCAACTTCAGCTCGCTAGAGCGACGCCTAGGTGAGCCTCAAGGCGGGTCGAGTCAACGGCCCCCTTTGATGTGCAAATCTATCCCCTCGAGCTGATCTCGCCTGCCTAGGTGTATTAGTATGTAGCCAAGGGACATGTCGGGAACAAGCGTTGGTCAATTCCACAGCCAGTCAACTCCGAAAAAAGCCGGCGAGACCGTGTTTCGCTACAAAACCAGAAATATTCGAATGTCAACTCCGAAGGACGAAATTTCGGAGTGATCGTTGATTATCATTATTATTGACTTTTCTCCCGACGAGCTGAGAACTGATTGGGAACCGGTCGGGATCGTGATCGGGAACGATCATGGCTCGTCTTTTTCCGATGACGTGGAGTTCGCTGAGCACGTTCTGGAGCGCAGCAGCTGCGTCTAAGAGATATTGAAGGGTGACACCTGCTCACCAAAATCGCAGAGATCCTGTCCGAACTGAAAATTGGATCTGGGCAGAGATATGGCTGTCACCAGGCGAGGAGATTCTGCGGAGCGGGGATTCATCGCCGAAAGCCTCGAGTGCCCATTCGCTGGCAGAAATCGTAACTAGGTATATCCTTTGGGAAAGCCGGGATGACTATCTGCCCAAGGGAAGGTCACGTGGCGGTGACCAAAGTGTCGGCCCAGAACTCGGTGGAGTCAGGCTGCGGGTGGTGCCTGGCAGAGCGGGGACGGCTGAACATGCTGGTCTCAAGAGATGCAACTTGCCAAGACTGCTTGTTGCTAAGCCGCGCGCGGGAGAAGAGCATGTCGCGAGATCAGGAGCGATAAAGATAATTCCCGCGGACCACCCCGGGATGAGGGGGATTTCGTAAAGCGGCTCGCAGGAATCCAGACGGTACGCGCCCCGAGCAGTGAGAGCAACAACAATGCCTCAAGCTTCTTGGATTAGGAACCCGAAAGGAAAAGATCGCAACCACGGACAGGAGCGACGCCGAGAGAGACGCGGTCGTTGCGACGCCGACGTCTGGCACTCGGAGAATCGGAATATGGATCCGAATTACTCAGGGTGTGTCGGGGAAGTTCGGAGCAGGCGTATGACGACCGGAATAGACTCAGAAACGATCTCACCGTACGGATTGAATGCCCGTCAAGGGCTTTTCGCGTCGACCGTTTTACCGCGATGTGAAACCGATTCCCGAGCGGAAGGGTCCACGACCCCATCAGGGACCCTTTGCGTCGGGTTCGGAAGTCTTATAAAATCGATAAGTGTTCGGCTCCGATATTTAAATCAGATCCAGGAGGTGAAGAGCGAGCGCGATCCCGATGGCTGAGAGTTTGGAATCGCAGATAGAGAGGATTTTCCCGATGCTCACGATCGAGCTCCGAGATTCGGAGGCTGGTCGAGTGTTGGGCAATCTAGACACATAAAGAAACTTCACTACCCAGCCTCCAGTTCATCGTCAAAGGCCGGAATTTGTCCAGGCTCTGACGACCTCACAGATTAGATATTATTCCGCTGGGGACGGAGAAATTCGGAACGCCGTCAGCTGCACGTTCGAGAAAACACGATAGAGGGGGTCTCGTCTATCGTGTATTGATTATGTTCGAACAGTGCTCTTTTCCGAGCTCCTTCGTCGCTTTGAAGTTCACTCCAACGCTCCCACGTCCTCCGTTTTCTCCTGATTCGAACCTCGAGTTTTCGAAAGAGATCTTGTCCTACACGACTCACGGGCCGATCGGGAATCTGATTTCAACTTTCTACAGCCTTCAGGCGAGATCACTCGACTGAGCCCGAAATTCGGCAGGAGCGTGGCCCGATGAAGCGTTAGAGGGGAAGGGGCGGGGAGCTGGGACGAAGCGAGCTGAGCTGGACCGGATCCTATCAACTCCCATCCAATGTCTTCTGACCGTGGTTGTTATGAAGCTCTGCTCACTGCGGATCAGACGGGAAGCTGATCAGGAATCTTTGCTTCCCACTGTCCTACGCATACGTAGGCTCATTTTCGACATCGGGCCCCAATCCGTTCTCCGAGGGAATGGATTCTTGTTTCATTTTTTCTCGATCGCTGCTATTGCATACCTGAGAGTTCTCGAGCTGAGGCACACGCTCCCACGCAACACGGGAGATCCTTGGGAGGTTGTGGGGAAACGGATGGTAGAAAGTCCGCCTCAGGTCGGAA